TTCCTCCCTATTGTCTTCTCAACTGCAAGTGTTCCAAAATTTGACACTGAATGCAATCAAGTTTCTTAGTTTTGCAGATAACCAATCATACTTCTGGCAGTGACTGTTTATTTGTTCAGATGTTCAACAGCTGGGCAAATTTGTATGTAGACATCTTTTTTTCAGTACAGGAAGATGCACATGCCTTTGGGATTACATATGATTCCACTGTTTTAGTTTCTTCATGTAATTTCTGGGGCTTTTTAGCACAGAGAATGAAAAATATTTTGTTTGCATATTACCCACTATCACAGTCTCATCACAAAAGAATGCCCAGTGTCATGTGAAATAAAGCAGCCAGATTTTGATGGAAGACCTTGGTTCTAGCTGCTAGGAGGTTTGCTGCGGGTGCAAGTCCTATTTAGAAGACCCTGGTTTGTTAGGACTAACTAAATCCAGACTCTAAAGCAAGATCAAAGGCCAGGCAGTATAATAATGAACATATTTATCTTAAAACTAGGAAAAGGTGTTGAAACTCCATTCCGGCAAGTAGCTAATACCAGAAAAAGCCCTGCTTTTGTGGGAAAAGATAAAGGAAAAACTTTATGAAGACTATAATCCCAGTACACTTAAACACACTGATAGAATTCTTATGCACTGAGTATCTTTTACTTGGTGCCTTCTGGCTGAACTAACTAACCTGAGAGAGAGTCATGTTTATATAGTAGAGTTGTATGACTGAGCTTCAGGTGCTCTTTGGATGACTGTAGGAAGCATAAAAATGACTGTTTGGATCTACAGGGCAAAATAAGTACAGTATAGCAAGACATATTTTATTCAGTAATAACTCTGCTCTTAGAGACATTTTCTTGTTTCTCCACTGAGATCAACCATATCCTGGATAGCTGCATATTTAAATTGCTGTTCCCTTCCAATGTCCCATCATTAGAAAGTTTTGTTCTAGCAGCATCCAAATCATCATGGTTTATTTGTAGCTTCTTTTTATTTCCAAAAGGAAGCCTAAAACAGCTAATAATGTAATAAAATATCAAAACTCTACAATATAAAAATCTAACAATGGAAATAGTATAATAGCTTGCAGTTCAAGGTTTAGATATTAGGTCAGTTAATAAATACAAAATTAAACATATATACTTTCACCCAGCATCAACCCCTCCCAACAAAGGTTGTATTTGGGGTTGGGGGAGTGAACCCCAAAGTGATTTCTTATTAATTAGGATATAAAAGTCCCCCACAATGCAACATGTTTTGTTTTCATAAAGGTGAAATGTGTTTAACAAAACCAAAACACCCAGAGCTAAGAAAATACACAGTGCTTAAGGTGGCATGTTTACTCTGAATACAGAATAACTCTGCCATTTTGCATGCAGAGTAGCCATCAGCATTTCTGCATCTTCAAACATTAAATTTCTCTAACTGTAAATAAGGATAATAAAAACAATGGTTTTGACTCAAAAAGGCAGAACATCCATGCACACTGGCACAAATGGGAAACAAGCTCATAAATACTTTTTGAAAACTAGCGTTGTTTGCTCTGAGGGGCATTTTTGTCCTTCCTAAGTCTGATGGAGCAACTGTCTTCTAAAGGAGGGACCATTATCTGTGCCAACCCAATTGCACAAAGAGCTGGTGCAGTGCTCTTACACACAAACCTCCTACGGCCATTGCACTGTCCCGTAGCTTTGGGACTCCCCTGATGCATCGAGGAAAGTAGCATGATAGCTTCTTTTTGTGGGAAAAGAGGACATCAGATAAAGTCACTATTAAAACCAAACAGTGATAATAGTGGTTCTTTCTGCATATGTGGCCGCATCGCAAGTGGAGTGTATTTTCTCTCTCACGTATGTTAAGGCTTTGTCTATCAATTCTTCAGCCAGTTTAATTCTCCCTTGCCCCCTACCATATTTCTGCCAGTGTGGAATAGGATCCCGCAAGGTTTGTCACCATGTTGAAGCCAAGGTGAGTTCCCTGTGGTACTCTAGGCTGCCTACACATCCACACATCTCTCCTGAGAGGGCAGGATCTCCCAGCATCACAGTACCACCAAACCTGTATGGCATATTTCCTAGGTTTGCTGGATATGTGCTTCTTGAATGGCCACATGTGGCATTCCCTCCTCTTCTTCAGACTCAGCGTTTACAGTTCCACTCTTTAAAAGCTGCTTCAAAACTTCTGCTGCACTCAGACGGCAGACTGTAAAATAAGAAAATATAGAGTATATTTATTTCTTCCTGAATTGGTTATATAATATTCCACATCCCATATACAGAATCACATAGAATCATAACTGCATCCCTACTGACGCTTCTTTTTCTGTCCCAGGAAAACCTCCTATTCTAGCCAAGCAGGAAAAGGAGTTAATATATTTTTGTCAAGGATTTATTTATGCTTTATTGCTTTATTCCCCCATTCCCCACAGAAACAGGACAAAAGCATTAGAACTGTACATACATTCCCAGAAATGCTTCTCTTTCCATCCTAGGAACACTTTCCATTGTGTAAAATCAGGAAAAATAGAGTAAACATCCTCCCCTCTCAAAAATAATGTCTGAATTGAAGCGCACACACTTTTTTTTTTAAACTGTGCATGCACTTGAAGATGCCACATTTTTCCTTGGCCCAATAATAGCACTAAATTAAGTTGGAAAACATGGTTTTCTTCCAAAGAGATACCTCCCTGCCGTTCTCAATGTTAATTATTATAAACAGATCTCACTGAAACTCTGTATCTGAGAAATGACTGTCCACTCATCAGAGAACCGTCAGCAAAATAATGGGCTGCCATATTTCAGCCTGTGGGTCAGGGAGAGGGTTTCCCATCCTCCTGGCACCCAGTCTAAAATCTCCCGCAATCCCCCATCCTTGAAAGGCAAGAGGGTGCTCTTCGGACATGTAAATCAGACTAAAATTACCTTTAGTTTCACCAAAACAATATGGGACATTTTGTACCTCAGTATGTTCCATTATATAGCAAAGATCAATAGCTCTTCGGGGGAGACATTTTGTTCCCTATGTTTTTGGTTATTTTGGTTTATAGAAAGAAAACTCTAAAAGATAGAATGCTGAAATTTGGGGACAGTTTTGACTAGGCAGTTTGTGGCAAAGTCCCAGAAAACCTAGATTGTAGGTCTCCTTAATTTATACAACTCAGTGTGAACCCCTAGTTATCCAACATTGGTAGTTACCCTAACATGTAGGATGAATTAAACAAGGGACATTATAATCTATATTTTAATCAAAATGACATACTTCAGTCCTACTCCAGCAGCCAGTCAGGGTGGCTGCTGGAAGGCTACATCTCCCACAAAACCAGCAGAAAAAACCAAGGTGCAACCAATTGTTAAAATAATTATGAAAAGTACAAATAATTCCCATACCCTGAAACTCTCTCATGCTAAACCTGCCTCTCACCACAGGTTAATACAGGAAGAGAAAAGGAGAAGGTAGGCGTAAATGAACCAAAGCTCTGTCATAATACAGTTGCGGAAAAGCTGAAACTGAGGAGAAGTTTTTGACTGTTAAGATGGGCATCCCAATCTTGTCAGGCAACTATGTGGTTAGTTCTGATTCCCAGGTACATCAGGTATACATACGCTAATATATGTCTGCCCTGACACATCTTCCTCCTTTTTTCCATCTTATTCATTCATCCTTTTGGTTCCACTATCATGTATCATTTGCAAACAGCTTGTATGACTATGATATCACAAAAGCCCCTTGTACAGAACATTAGTTCGTTGTGTACAAGGTAGTTCTTTAGTTCGTTGTGTACAAGGTAGGGAGAGGGGAGGGAGGACCTGATCAGAGAGAAATTTCAGGCCAAGATAGCAGGTGCTTCAAGATGAATTGTCATATTATGCAATCATCTTGTTTCAGTTGTGTAGTTTTACCACGGTCCAGACATCATTGCCTCCCATGAGCAACCCTGCTGTGTTTCCTCACTGTTACTGACTTCTGTCCATAAAAATTCTTTTAAGGAGAAAATGAAGGATTATGTGCCTTGATAATAGTGAGAGAAATCTATCTGGGAATACAGATTTGTTCCTTTGCTCATAATTTTGCATTTCTCTTTTTGATACTGCATCTCTACCAGTTCTGCCTTGACCAAGGACATAACCATCACTGGGGGCAATCAGGCAGAGTCCTTATTTCAGGCGGGTGTCCTGCAACATTATGAAAAGTTGTTTTAAAAGCATTTGATTTCTGCTATTCCTTGCTTTACCTTGAAGGCAGATGTAAATAGAGTTATATGTATCTGCAGCAATTCGCAGGTGCTAAAAGGAACAGCTATCCCTTGAACTAAGTATTAAAGAGCAGGGTTAAAGAGTTCCAGTGCTGATGCTTCCCCCTTTGGAGGAACTTCATACTTTTACGCCAAGGAAGCCAATCCAGGCATAGGTTCCCATGAGTCATATCCATAAAATGGAAGGTGGCTGCTTTAACACCCTCCATCTCTTCCTCCACATATCCAGTGTAAGCAGATATGGATCTCCAGACATAAGATTATGGCTAGCACTAATTATGGATATTGAAACGTTTGTCTTTTGATGCCAAGTGCAACTTAGAGCTACTATGTTCGAAGAGAATGGAATCCAGTTTTGCATCTACCACACTTAAACATTTGCTCAAAGAAACCCAAGGGAGACAAAGCTTCCTGTATTTGTTGCTGCCTTTTATTGGGGACAGAGAGACATGATTCTGCCAACTCGCCGCACTAATTCCCGGATTCTGCACCTGCTGTTCCCGTTTCTGTCTTGCTATAAGCGGGAGAAAGTTACTGGAAGAGAACTGGAAGTTGGGCACAATCTGTACTTCCAGTCACTCTTACGGTCATGCTCTTCCTCCTCTGCTCGAAGCGATAGGCATCCCTCGTGCAGACAGCGACCGTCCCACAGACAGTGCTGAAAAGGGGGCGTGGCGAAATCTTCCCACGGCCGGGAGGGCGTGGCTAAGAGGATGATTCGGTCTCCCAGGCAACGCCGCCGCGTCAGGGCGGTGGGGCGGGGCCGCGGCGCTCCTTCCAGGGCCTAGTCTGAGGCGGCCGCGCTTCCCGCGTGAGTAGCGTCGGGCGGCCTCTTTCTCCCGCAGAGCCGGCGATGGGGAGGTCGGGGAGCGGGCGTGAGTGATGGGCTCGCAAGCGCTTCGCTCGGGGCTGAGGGCGGCTGGTTCCCTGCTCCGTCAGTATGAGTCGTGTTTATGACATGGCCATGCTCTGACGATGGCTCCCTTTCCCGGCACTCACTCCCGTCTTGTCCTCTCCATACCCCTGCGGAGTAGGCCAGGCTAGGCTGAGGGGGGGGGGGGAGTGTGCGTGAGTGACTGATCCAGGGTTACCCCAGGAGCCTCAGAGCCGAGGAGGGAAATTTGAATGGGGGCGTTCGACCTTTTAACCAAGGCACCACCGCTTGATCTTCTTTTCTGGGGGGCGGGGGGGATCTTGGACCCAGGTGGAGTCAAGAGGGTAAAGGCCGGAGGTCGCCTGTGTGGGTTGGTCGAGTAGGAGAGGTCCATAAGAAAGCAGCTGCCATGGTCTTAACCACTACATCTCTTAATTTAATACTTAGGCTACCGTGTTTCCTTCTCTTTAACTTAGGCAGCTTCTGGGGATGGGATCATGCATAAAAACTGTAGTACCAGCGAGTGTAAGGATGCAGTGGTGGAGGATGAAAACTTGGTGTTTTACTATCTAATCCTTTTTACACACACCTGGAAATAGCATCCACTAAGTTAAGTGGAGTATGTAGGATTACAGGTCAAAACTCAGATCCTACATATGCTGATATAAAATAATAGAACAATAGAGTTGACGGGGGGGGGGCAGGGAGTCATCAGGTCCAATCCCCTTCCTCAGTGCAGGACTCCCAGTTAAACCATCCCTCCAGCTGCCTCTCAAATGCCTCTAGTGTGGGAGAGCCCACAACCTCCCCAGGTCATTGGTTCCATTGTGCATTGCTCAGAGACTGGAAGTTCATCCTGAAGTTCAGCTGGAATTTGGCTTCCTGTGACGAGCCCCTTATTCCGTGTCTTCTCTGGGATAGCCTAGAGATCTTGGCATTCCTCTTTGTGACAGCTTTTCAAGTACTTGTAAAGTGCTATCATATCACCTTTCAGCCTTCTCTAAGTTACACATGCTCATTTTTTGCAATCTCTCCTTATACTGGTTTGCTTCCAGTCTGAATCCTTTCCACTTTGTTTGCATACCGCAGTCCAGATGAGGCCTAGCCAGTGCTAACAACTGTAATATTAGGGGAACTACTTGTACTCTTTAGTGAAAAGGCAATGCTCAGAAAAACATTTATGCTACAAAACTTTGTCTGAAGCATAGATTTTTATTTATTTATTTTGCTCAGTACTAAGGCCTCTCAAACTTTTTTTTTGAAATGTTGGCCCCTTAGCCTTTCCCATCCTTCCCACTTATGACTGGGCTGGCTCAATTTCCTTAGCCTAGTCTGCCTTGTCTTTCTCTGCTCTTTGGTAAATGAGGATTCTAATGCATGTTGGTGCTTATACCCCCCAACCTTCTAGATTAGATTTAGGATTTGTCAAGAGGAAGGGAGAATTTGAACAAACAGAACTATCTGTTCTGGCAGGAGGACACCTACTGGCTAGTTTTAATTGAAATAACTGCTCCAGCTATTCAGTTCAGAACCCACAGGATTTAATCTATCAGGTCAGACTCAATTTATACATTTGAAACCATCCTGCTGTTGAGTGGCTGGTACCCAAGGTCATAGCTGGAAAGAATATTAACATAGCTGCAGGTATTTCTAACATTGGCATGAAAATATTTATTTAATTTTTTCTTACCCAGATTCATAATGATGAATTGTTTCACACTTGTTTTATTTCTACCTTCATAATATGTTCCGTATCTTTCTTACTTTTGTTAGTCGCAAAGTCATGCCCGATCTATCATGTTCCTCCAGGCATTGCTGCCTCCACCATCCCCTGGAGCCCTCCCAAGCTCACACCCATTGCCCCAGTGGCTCCATCCAGCCCCCTCATCCTCTGCAGTCCCCTTCTTCTTTTGCCATCAGTTGTTCCCAGCATCAAGATCTTCTCCAGTGAGTTGTTCCTTCTCATTAGGTGGCCAAAGTATTTGAGTTTCATCTTCAGTATCTGATTGTGCTTACTAGTGATACTCAGTATTGTGTTAGTGGCATTCTAAATAAACTGCTTTGTTTGCCTTTAAAAAAAAACCCTGTGTCTTGGAATTATATTAACATTGCTAGTATTTCATTTATTTCATTCCCTTGATACCTTGTCATTTGGGCATATTAAATACTTAGCTAGTTTCTTTAGAATAAAAACACCCCACTAGGTATGGGGTATGGGTGGAATTAAAACCTTACTTCTTTTTAAAAAAATATTTTTATTTTCCCAACATATACAATTACATAGGAAAAAATACAGAACAAAAGAAAAACTAACATAAACAGAACAGACTAAAGTGAACAAAATAAACGAAGTTGCCAAGGGAATTACAAACAACACAACCCATTTACTGCCACCCCCGGAACCGACTCTCTTCATATCTTCCCACACTCTATGAGAGTTTGCAAAAAAAAAAGAATCATGATTCTATACATCAACAGATTTTTTAACCAGTTCAAATTCTAATGCTTTCCTTTTTCCCTTCTAAACTCCTGAACTTCCATTAATCATGCTGAGCACAATAAAATTTCCATTTGTCATTAAATTCCTCTAATGGTCTATTTGCATAATTAGTTACAGCTTTGCCATCGCTGCATATTCTGCTAACCTAGTTCTCCATTCTTCAATGGTTGGAGGCTCTGGTGTTTTCCATTTTGAAGCTATTGTGATTCTTGCTGCCATAGTCAAATATTTAAATAACTCTGACATATTTTTTTTAAAGGGTCTCTGGCACAATATTCAAAAGCATGTTCTTGGGGCTCATAGGAAACTTAATTTTAAAGATTTTCTGCATGTATCAGTTTCCAGAATTTTTGTGTTAAAACCTTACTTCTTAAAGGTTTTTCTTTAGCAAAATCAAAAAGATGAGTGAGAAGCTTACTGGCGAGGAAGGGCACTAGTTCTTCAGGAAGGTCTTAACACAGCCTTTGCAGCAGAAAGACAACATTCAGAAGAGTGATTCCTGCATTTCAGATGATTCCTCTTGTTGTGAACCACCCAGATTTCTTTGGCTGTTGGGCAGTATAGAAATAAACTATGAATACTTTCAGTTTGTCAGAATTACCACATGCCTAGAAACCTGTAGGACCTAGTTCCCAAGTCAGAGTGCCACGCCACAGGGACAGATACAGTTGGCACAGAAAATGTCGTGGGAAGTTCAGATTGCAAACCTGATCCATAGACTACGTATGGAGGCCTTTCCGCTGTAGTTGACAAGTGCCATTTTTACAGCATTGTAGTATGGAATACTGATCCTATCCTTGATGATACAACGTATTATATAGTTCAAACACTTTTATAAATGAGTGATGATTTCTTAGCATTGTATGGTGTTTTCTGTGTAATTTGGCTCATTTGCTTCAGATCGTTGGACCTATTTTGAAAAAGTTATGCAAATATCTCTGGTGGTCGTCTTGCCTTGTATATCAGTATTAAATTCTAAGGAGATAAAAGTGGTTCGGTTCAGAAAGAATTCTGAACTAGGGCTTGACCAAATGTTATGTGAAGCCTTTCCAATCATAACGGAAGAAGCAGATGTTCTTAGCACGCTCACTAAGTAAGGGTGCTAAGTAAGTAATGAGACCAGTTAGTGCATTTTATTTCCCTATGCATAATGCACTGATCTGGATGAAACAAAAACTGTGATACTATAGGTAAATTATATTGATATAAGGATATTGTACTTCAGACAAGTAATTGAACTGCTTTGAAAGTACCACACTTTCCAAATTATTCTTAGATTGTATTTATATCCCACTTTTCTTCCTCTTGCAAGGAATCCACTGCTGCTTACAAAGTTCTTAGTTTATCTTTTAGTTACTTATATTAAAGAACCTGCTTTGACACCATTTTCTCTCTGGATGTTTTTATCCTAAACATTTGATGACCATGGTATTCATGTTTACCTGCTATAATTGCAACTGTTTTAAGTAGTCATATTTTTCATTAACACAGGTATTGACTGTGGCATTCATTCTAAGTTATGGGATTATTCGACAAGCTAGCCGGCTGGCTTGGCCTGAAGAAAAAGGACGTTCACGTTTTGTGTCTTGGGTTAGACAATAGTGGCAAAACAACAATTATCAACAAGTTGAAGCCATCTAATGTAAGTAATATTTTAGTGAGTATGTTAGCTCGGTTTGAAAAGTCTTATTGAAGAGCTGAAAAAAGAAAACATTATTGAAAAAAATTACCATTGGATACACTTGTGGAAGGATAGAAGGCATTTGTTTTGTTGTTGTTATATGCTGTCAAATCATCTCTAACTTATGGTGATCTTGTGATGTACTCCAGAATGTCCTGTCCGTCAAAGCCCTGCTCAGGGCTTGTAAATTCAAGGCTGTAGCTTCCTGTATGGAATTGATCCATCCCGTATTTGGCCTTGCTCTTCTTCTTCTCCCTTCAACTTTCCCTAGCTTTACTGCCTTCTCTAGTGACTCCTGCCTTCTCAGATCCTAATATGCATAGTTCAGTCTGAAACACAGGTTTATCGCTGTACTTTGGGGTTTGTTCTTGCCTGTTGATGATTCTGGATAAACCATTGGCAGCAAGGAAGCAAGTGCTGGTTTATATGTGCTCTTGTATGTCTTGTAAGTAAATTCTGTTTAAGCATTTTGTTAAAATATATCTGCAGTGTTACTGGATTTAAACACAGGGCAACAAAATGAAATGAAACCTTTTATGTTTCCCCTTTCAATCTTCAGTCTAAATTAAAGCACAAGGTGAAAGAACTTTCTCATTCAGAATCCTTTAGATAGCAGTGATCACTTTTGTATGCAAAGCTTGCTCTTCTGTTTTTCTCCACATGCAAACCCTTTTAATTTTCTTCAAGACTCAACACACATGCTCTCCCTTCATCTTGATTCATAAGTGCCAATAAGGTTTTTCTGCTCTTCGTGGGTTGCCAATAACATCTTGACCCCATTTAACATCCTTTGATGAACCAGCCCTGATTGCTGGGGATTAGAAGAGGATATCCATTTCTGGACTTTGCAAACATAATCCAAGGGAGACTGGTTTAAGGAATTATTAGCAGGAATCTGGATCCAGATTTTTTTTTAATCTTTAGGCCTCATGCTGCATCTCACCTTTCTGGCTACACACTTAAATGATTCTTCTGTAGAGCACTGCCAATTATTTAAGAGTTCAGGATCAATGTGCGTCTGAGGCATAGGAGGAAGTTCTTCCATATTACTTCCAAGAACACCGGCATTGTTTCCAGGCATTTCAGACTGACTACCCTCAACAATGGGAAGGTAGCAGGTGAGTCTTCGGCTCCTCTTTGGGAACCTTTTAAAGCTGACATTAGTGCTTTCATTCATTAGCTCCACTGCAGAATCAACAATGAAGAAGGAATCTCCTTAGTTTTGTTGTTTTTACCAGATCCGTGCGGGTTTGGTAATTTCTTACCAATTACTCATTTTCATTTAAGGTATTTATTTCATTTTCTCAGGAAAGTTTTTTTTCAGCTGATTCCCAAAGAAGCAGTTTTTTCATTTCATATGCAGCAGCATCTTGAAGTGGCGAGGATGACCTTGACATGTCATCTTCCTTAAAAAGATCCAAGCTGGAATGCAGGCAGCTACTATTTCCTCCATTGCTATGTAATCGGCTGTTGCTTTTAGCAGTTTCAGTCATAGGTTTGGTGTTCAGGACACCTGAGCTGAAATCATCGAAGATGGACATTTGTGGTTGCAATGTGCTTCGATAAGATGACATAAAAATCTGTCATCTCTGAAATTGGACTAAGGTTTCTTTGATGCTCTCTCTTGCTGTTCATATGGTGCTTCTTGCTCCTTTCTGCGCCTTCCACCTTTTCCAAAAGCTTTGCTTTTGGCTGCTGGTGTCTTTTTAGAAGAATGCTTTCTTGCATGTTTGGCTTCCTGCGATTTGCTGTACTCCTGTTTGGAATTCTTGGCTAGCAGTTCAGTTGCTCAGTTAAGATTCATTTCTTCTCCTTTGCTGACATACTTCCTTGTCATAGAGGACCATTTTTTTCTAACAGCCACAACCTGGAAGTCAGAACTGCCTTTTGTTTTTTTCCAGATCAGAGTTCATCGAACATTCAGTAGTGGTCACTGCTTCTGATGACGGTCAAAGGTTATTGCCATGGTCAAAGTTTGGTTGGGAAAAAGATTCCTTGGGAGAAAATACATTAGATCTTTCTTCTCTTGATTCTGATGGACTCAGTGGAACATTTCCTCATCTGCATGATAGAACTTCCAGAGGAAGAAGTGTAACAAATACATCACAGTCTAGATAGTTGTTGTATGTATTCACTTCATCCACTGATCCAGTAAGTCTTTCTGTGATGTTATCTATTTGCAATGTTTCACGGCTTTTGAGGTTGGGAAGCACTTTCCTCTCTATTCTTGTATCATCAAGATACTCCTGCATCTGTGTACACTACTTCCTTATTCTCTATTGATAAGCTATCCCCAATTTCCCTGGTGTGTCCCAGGAGATTCCCAGCAATCATGTGGCATTTTGGACTCTGAAGAAATGTAATTTCCCTATAGTATAGCCTTTCCCAACATGTTGCCTCCCAGTTGTTTTGGATGGCAACTACTGTTGTAAAAGCACAACACAAAGGAATACATATTGTCCACCTATTACCACAACAAAATAGTAATAATTGTATGATCAGTGCTCAGAAATTTGATCAGCTGTGAAAACTCACAGACCAATAAATAAAACAAACAGAAATGTTATTTAAGATACAGACTGACTGCTGAAAAAGACAACATAGAGCTATCATTCTGCAAACCTTTCCCTTTTATTCAGAGATGTTTTTCATGTTGTTATTGTCCAATTCTTGACTTATCATTATATAATAGCATTTGAAGCTTATAATGCTATTTAGATCAAAAGAAAATATAAAATCTGATTTTAATACTAAAACTGAGCTAAATTAATACTAAAACTGAGACTAATTTTCTCTCATGAAGGCTCAAACTCAAGATATTGTTCCAACAATAGGATTCAGCATAGAAAAATTCAAAACATCAAGGTAATACTTATATCTGGATACTTTTTCTTTGCCTTAGAAAATACTTTCTTGGTGGATTATATTAGCTGCAACATTTCTCTTGTCCTGACATCATTCCATGTTGAATGCATTTGTTGTTCATTCTGAGTAGACTATGAATGGGCAATGGTGAAACAGCGTGTATTAGTATATTTGCTTGTTCATAGTAAACTGGAATACGAAAGAAGTACGGCTTACTATGGTATCCAAAGGTGGTTAGTAAGTTCACTGGGAATTATTAATTAGCATGCTTTCAGAAAATTAAGATGTAAAAGTGAGTTCTTGTATAAATTTTGATGTAGATAATCTTGATTTTTATGGTGCAGCTGGCTTCAGTGTGGCTTATTGATTAGTAAGTGTGTATAGAATGGCTGTTTGATTTTAAATTAATATCAGACTTAAATTTTCAGATTAGTGGTATACTATCAAAAACATTTAATGGGATAGAAATGTAATGTAATAATATATTGTCCAGTATTCTTGTGCAAATGCTATTGAGTTCAGTGAGAATAGTAACTGTATATATAATTGCAGGCTTAAATGCATCTCTGTTTTAATAATATGTTTACTGTTTGTTTATAGTTTGTCATTCACTGTGTTTGATATGTCGGGTCAAGGTAGATACAGAAATCTCTGGGAATACTACTACAAGTAAGTAGTTGCTTACTTTGTAACAGCAGTTGCTCTAAAATAATACGACTGTGATGCTTCTGTTTGACTAAGGATGCAATCTATGGCTGCTGGATGCTGTTTATTTTATTTAGATCCTGCTTTTTTCCTTTCAAGGAAGTCAAGGCAGCTTACATAATTCTTCTCCTCTTCTCATTGTTATCCTCACGACAACCCTATGAAGTAGGTTGGGTTTGGCCCAAAGTAACTTCGTGACCCTGGCTGAATGGGGACTAGAACCTTGATCTCCAGAGCCCCAGCCCAGCATTCTTAACCACTACACCACACTATAGCCATAATATTCTGAGGTCACAGCTGGAACTCTGACCTTGGAATGCCCCTGTAGCTAGAATTCTTTCCGTGCCCCTGTACCACACACCACATCTTTCATGAAGACACTCATACTCCCTGGAGTGGCTTTGGTGGGGTGCAGAGGATTTGTGGTTGGGTGGAAGTGGCAGATGAACTCCACAGAGTCAGTGTGATGTAGTGATTAAGTGGTAGACTAGGGACTTGGGGATTGAGGTTCTAGTTCCCCCTTGCCCATGCTGCTCACTGGGTGGCTTTGGGCCAGTCACAGACTCTCAGCCCAGCCTGCCTCACAGGGTTGTTGTCATGAGGATAAAAAACTGAATTATGTAAACCGCCCTGGGTGCCTCACAAGAGGAAGAAAATGCAGGACATAAATGCAGTGTAATAATAAACTATTTTTAGAGTCTATAAGAATATGATGCTCCAAGTCAGATCAATAATATATAACACTCTGAGAAAGACTTGAGTTACCTGTTTTGTCACTCAAGGTTTTAGAGGGCCTGTAATTTGCTTCTTTGTTTTTGTGCCTTGTAGAGATTGCCAGGCCATTATTTTTGTCATTGATAGCAGTGACAAACTAAGAATGGTTGTAGCCAAAGAAGAACTTGAAAATCTCATCAGTCATCCAGGTGAGAATAGCTCTTTATCATTCACTCAGTCTTGTGCCCATTGTTTGTTCTCAGCATTAAATGGCTTTCTTCGTCTGTATTTGAATATATATTTTCCTTTGTTTCTTTCCTTTTGTAAATAGGAATTAGAATATAGGTTTCATGAATACCACTACAGATACATTTCAAATAATGAGTACTAGTTGGAAACTGATTTCAATCAATATTAAACCAATTTATTCTAGGAATAATCAACTTACAGAAAAAGAAATTCATGGAACTTTTATTGAAGTCACTGAGAACTGGAAAAACTTTAATGGCTTTATATAATGAGAAGGCAGATATGGGAAAGAAATGGAGATAAGTGTGAGGATGAAATGGAGAGGAGGAAGATTATTTAAGCTGCTTTGAGTCCTTTGCAGGAAAAATGTATATACATATAAATAATGTCATTTCAGCATGACATTTGCTCTGGTAATGTCCGCCTCTCACAAACAAGAACTGCTCTTCTTCTCTCCCAAATCTGTTTTTAATACCAAAAAAGAGTTAATGATTTTGGTTTGGAAATCTTGACGTTTGTGGGTTAGAATCAGAAAAGGGAATCAGTTGAGAGCCTTCCTGGTGACCTGTGGAGCAGTTAAATAAAAGATGTTACAGCATTTATGTCTTGTTTGTATTTCCAAGTCCCTTTCATGCTGAAAAACAGGCTTCAGACCCATACCTCTGACACCACTCCCAAGCTTGCATGTTGTCTTGGTCCTTCATTAGGTGTGAATAAATGCAGATACACCCTCTTGCATGCATAGCTCAATGTGATGAGGGGTTCTGAAAGTTTCAGAGAAACTGAGAGAGCAATGCCACTGGGAGACCAGGCAGTCTCACAAGCTGGTTTCGTAATAGAGGCACTCAAGGTGGAATGGTCAAAGCAGAGATACAGACTTAAGCTGCCTCCACCTTCTTCAGGAGTAATGATCACATCAGCAGAAGTGGATCTCTCTATAATGCTGAAGGGGGCAGAGAAGTTTCTGAAGGGTAGCAACAGGAAGCCACAGCTTTGAACTTAGAAGAGCTGAGCAGAGCTGCCACGGATAGGTCATTTTAGAGGGCTTCCATTCACAGGACTGCCATAAACTACAGACAACTTGATGGTGTATAACAGCTTTACAACAAGCACAGATAAAAAGCCTGTTCATGTAGACCTCTTCTTGCAAGATATTCCATCCATTCTAGATCTCCAGTTGTGCTGATAAAGCTATTTCTATTTCTATTCTGTTTTCATCTCTTTTGGAAGTGGGATGGAACTGACATTCCCTTTATTGTCATGTCCTTCCTGTCTTCACTGCAGTGGAATGAGAACATGCTATACTGAAAAAGAATTGGTACTTAGTTGTACTGAATCTTTACATCTTGACTTAATTTATACCAGGGCTAGGCCCCAGAATCTGTTTTTGGTACTAGAGATGACGCTTGGACTATGTGATATACTAGTCATAATAACCAGCGCCTCTGTGGTAACTACCCATACACCAAAAGCTCTGAAAAACAGGCTATCAGGGTAGGTAGCATGATTCCAAGAGTAATTTAGTATCCTTTCACCTTTAATAGAAATTAAGCCCTGCTTTTAGTTGTTTAGGAGATTTAGCAATTGCTAGTTTATTTTGGTCCATTATGTTGCTGCAGTCCTACATCATATCAACAAGCTGGAATCTCACAGGTGGACTTCTGAGTTCCTGTGTCATCCCTTACAGCTCCTGTGGCTCAATTTGAAAGAAGTGATCCTTACCCAGATAGTACATATCCTTTTTGTATTATAAATAGTTTGTACTTGCAGCCTTACACATCACATGCTGAGGTCGGGGAGAATTACTTTAAAAATTCTACTCAAACATGAACCAGAAACATGCACTCTTCATGGCCCAAGAATGCATTTTAATTGAGTATAATTTTCAAAGGATTATAGTAAAAAGTTAGTAGTCTGTGTTTCTCTTTTCTTTTCCCAATTTGATTCTTCTAAATCATGACCGGGATAACAAAACACTGTGTTACTCCTAGATCTTAAACATCGACGAATACCAATTTTATTTTTTGCAAACAAGATGGACCTCAAGAATGCTGTGTCATCTGTAAAAATCTCTCACTTACTGGCCCTGGAGAACATTAAAGATAAGCCATGGCATATCTGGTAAAGTTGCGTTACTTGCATTTGTACTTGCGTTGACATGCAGTGTTTGAACTCAGATTTGACTTCCTTGTGCTGTAGTCTTTCTTACACATTCTAGTTATAGCTTGCCTCTCATGTGGCATATTGCTAGTTACCGTTTGCTGTGCAGCTTTAGGGACTCGGGGCCAACAAATAGTGCACTTTCCCAGATTAATTCAGCAACAAGTCTTTAGGTGAATTTGTTTTGAGGTCACTTATAATGTATTCTATTCACTTGGAGACACTGAACAATTACAAGGCACAGAGTGCCATTCAACACATCTTTAGACTGTTAATCATCGTTATCATCTAGAAAGTTACCTCTTCCATTGACTTGCTGGGTGTGCAGCATGTCCTGTGCAACTTGAACAGAAATTGATATCCTGCCCTCTGCTCTCCATAATGCACACATCATTATCTAGATTCTTTACCACACACAGAAAGAGAGTAAGTCAGAAGGGACCTCCCAAGCCATCTAGTCTGACCTCCAGCTCCAGCCGGCTCCACTCATGATATGCCTACCATGTGCATGTCCATCCTATCCTTGAACTTGCTGCTGGTGCTTAATGTGCTAACTTGCTTTAATGAAGGGATTAGAAGTTCTCATTTAGTAAGAGGGAAGAAGTGAACATGATAGAAATGCCAACTCTTAAATGTCTCCAATAGAAGGCGGCCTATATAGTGTTTCACATGTTTAGGTGCATGCCCATGTGTTGAGTCACCACCTTCTGAACTGTGTTGCTGGCACAGGTGCGCAGAGTTGTCAGAACGCTCGGGTGAGGGCAGTCATCGCCTTGGGTTGCTCCTTTGTGTGACCCACTGCCTCGGAGAAACTTGCCGCTCTGGGACCCAAGGCAGACTCGCAGGGGGATCGGTTCAATGCAGGCATGTGTCAGTGCAGCAGAGGACAAGGCACAGCTTGTCTTTTGCCTTACCGCTGTTAATTAGTGGAAGAAAAAGAGACACCTAAGTGGCTTTCTTTGGCAGCAGTTGCACCCATGTCATACCTAGCTCTGCCCTGGAACATGAACAATATACTTTAAATATAGTGGTCTTCCATTTCTATATTTTAAACATAAAAAGTAATTACTCTTTTCACTGGTTTTATATACTGATACAGTAAATTCTCTGTTTGTTTCAGTGCTAGTGATGCTCTTAAAGGTGAAGGCTTACAAGAAGGTGTAGACTGGCTTCAAGGTAGGTTTCATCATATTTTGCTGTAGCTGCTTCCTTTTCCCATTGCTTTTTTGTTTTTATTTTAAAATCTTTTCCACCATTTCATTTCTTCCTGCCCATTTCTGCTATCAGGTGAAATTACACAGTGAGTATCCTTATTGAATTCAGTTATTCAGATTCCTTACACTTTTTAATCTTTCCCTTTTAAAAGTCCTATTTTAGCAAAAGTACAGGCAATACTGTCACTCCAAAAAAGTATATAAGAATAGAGCCACTTTTACAAAAAGTGCTTGTACTCTTGGTACTTCCTTTTAGTTGTTGTGAGACCCTCCCCCCGCCACCAGTTAAGTTCCATGAGATAACTCTACGTTCTATACATAATGCACACCGGGCATTATTTTGGGCATCTCAATCATGTATACCCTTACTTGCTAAACAATCCCAAATGCTGCAACCTTTTTTTGATATGGGATTTGTTCTACCACTTGGTTATTCTTTTTCTATCTCTACAATATTCCTTGTATCCACTTGGCTCTACAAAATTATTCAGAAAATATGCTGCAATTCTTTAGAATCTAACATCTAGATGATATAATAAAATCTGCATTTTAATGTGAATTCTGTTTGTTCTACCTAGATCAGATCCAAGTAATGAAGACATGAAAAAATAATAAAATAAAGCTGTCATAAAGATCATTTGCAGGTGTACATGAGGATCCTTGAAGTTAAAGACTACTTTAAGTCTGTTTCTATATTTCAGTTGGCTTTTATAAAAGCTCAAAATGTAAAATATTTATTGTAAGAAAACATAATAGTTCATATACTTAGAGTGTGTTTGGATAGAATACTAGAATCAATGTTACTATGGTCTGAAAATTTTAGTGTCTTTTGAGCTACGGGGCCCAACAGTTTGACTCCCTAATCACTCCCCCTTGTCTTACTTTCAAAAATAAATGTTGGGCTTGTTTGTACATTGTGTTATACCATGGTGTAATTAGAAACAGACTCAATAAGCTTCCATGAATCTTGGGCTCCCCTGTTCCTTCCTTCCGTTTCTGACTTTTTACACTTTCCTTCAACCCTCCTTCCCATGCTTAAATCTTGACAAACTGGTCATTTTCAGTAAAACCAACTTCTGACCATTGTTTCTGAGGCTGCTTGTTAAACTAACCAGAATTTTTTTATATACCAAGATCTCTGATCTGGATGAAAAAAGAAGCTGGGTTTTGGGGAAGTGGCACTAGAAACTACTAAAGGCATCCTCCAAATTGTGCCAGAGCTGGAGAGGCACACGCAAGCCCAAAACTCACAGTCTCTCCTTCCTGGTGTTGTGTGTCTTGTTAAACAATATATGAATAGCCTGTTTGATGGGCCTTTTAGCAAAAGGTAATAGCTTTAGCTTACAGAGAAAATAGCTACACCATTTATTTTTTTAATAATCTTTCCGTTATTTATGAACTGTATTTTTGTAAGTAATTGTGCTATTTATCAATAATTTGTTCTTTGTATGTGTTGAAATATATTGTATTCCATAATGGCTGAAACAATATTTTGATAAATAAAACTATATGATTAATGTGTACTGGGTAGTATTTGTTTTAAGAGGACACATAGTGTCCAAAAGGGAAAAAAGAAATGTACATAGCTGAACTTTAAACTGCCTTTTTGTTGCATAAAACTTTATATTTTTGTGCTTAGAACTTAATATACTAATAATTCATATTAGTACAGAACCTGCATCTCTCAGTTTATAGATTATGTATGACCAAGACAACTTATTTAGCACTTTATAGTAATAGTTTTGGAGAACTGATTGGCTCGGCATAGTTTGCTAATCCATTGCAAACAGAAGATCCATTCTTTCTTCCAAAAAGATTTACTGTATCACTGATTTTCCAAGCAACAAAATTTCAGCATGAAACATCAAAGGATTTCTAGCCACCTTTTATGTCTGATATTTTCAAATGCCATAGTTCCCACAAAGTAAGGAAATGTTAGAATCTCTGTGTTTAGTTAACTTTAACTATCTTGGCTACAGTCCACTGACCCTGGGTGCCTTCTTTCCTGACTTTACCTGGGGTGGAGAAACATGAACAAAGTGATATCGTTGACTAAGTTCAGACCTGTATGAAAGACTAGATACTCACATTTTTTAGTCAGAACTGAAAAATTATATATGCCCTGAAAGAGGTATCCAGTGAAATTAAGCAAGACAGATGTGTTTCATATATGAAAAAATAAAAATGGTGAGGGGTCACAGTTCAGAGACAGAAAATCTTGCCAAATGGAAGTAAAGTTGTATGAAGATCCAGCATATAACTGACCCCAGTCTTCCATGGAGGAAGAGACAAGATTTCTAGTGTTGCAAAAAAGATCCTTCTAGCAATGAGAACTGCTCTCAGAATCCATAGAACTGGATATTTATGAGGTACCCATAGACCTTGTATATAACTCAGGATTAAATTATTAGCTATAAGGGTCAATAAAACAAAAAGTGTCATGTTACCTCAAGTTATAATTTAGTGCTAGAAATGAACAATCTGGGGCCTTCCCAGAACATGTGAACCAGATTAGCTCCAGGTGCCTGGCAGTGCCAATAGCTGTTCTCACTAAGATGTAAGGTTACAGAATTTGCTGGAGTACCAGTGTTACTGTAGAAGGGGGACAGGGTTTTGCTGAATAATTCTACTATATTACATTTATACCCCACCTTTCTTCCTCTCACAAGGAACCCCAGGTAGCTGAGAGTCTGTGACAGGACCAAAGTCACCCTGTGAATTTTATGGTTGAGGGGGGCTAGAACCTGACTCTGTGGAGTCCCAGCCCAGCACTTAACCATTATGCCACGCTGGCTGTCAAGCCGAAAGTGCAAGCCTGAAATGGGGGAATTAACAAACTTGGGTACAGTGGGATTTTTAATTGGGAACTTAGTTCTAAATTCCTCTCAGACTTTATGGATTTGAATTGGTTTTGATTTTGCTTTTTTAAAAATTACAAATTATTCTGTCAAATTTGGAGAGAAGTGAAAAAGTAATGCTACCGATGAAGCTGCAAAGGCTTTGAGACCAAAAACGGCGGTCAAGCAGTGCTTCAGTTGCATGTATTCCCATCCAGATCTGATTGGGAGGTTGAATTTTGCACATAGGATTTCAAAATAAGGGAAAGAGATCAAACCCAATTCCCTTTCCAAGGTTGTAGGAGTGTCTGTAGGAAGGCCCAGCTCTCAATTTACTTTATTAGTTCTAGTCTGGCTGCATCTGGCTCCTTACTATCTCCAAGGCGTGTGGACTGTGTTAGCAGTTATAAACTGTGGCCTAAGGTTATGCTTACTTCTTTGCAACTTGTAAGAAAAACTAATTTGTTGCAACTAGACTTGACTTGCCCTTATACCAAAGGTAGCATCTGACAAGGGCACGGAACTAAGCAGGCTGGCCATGCTGGTCCTACATAAAAGAGCCATTTCTTTATATACTGGAGTGCTGAGAGATGTCCAGTGAATAGTCAGAAAAACTTCAGCTGGAGCTTGTAATGTGGTGATCCTGTTTTCCTTCGTCACACAGAAGAGTGCTGGACACCTCAGGGAGGCTTCAGCTACTTTTTCTGGCAAAGGCACTGGCCTGCTGGAATCCATGTGGAGATCCACCATCTCCTTGGGAAGGTGTTTTATTTATTTATTTAAAACTTTCCTGCCCCGTCCACCACTGACGTATCAGGATGGCTTACAATAAAGAAGTGGTTGAAGTGGAAGAGGGAAAACTCTCCTTTTTAACTGGCCAGTTTCTCAGGCCTGTCCCAGGAGATTCTCATGGCTTAGCAGGTGAAAGGTGATGGGTCCTGGGGTGGGCTGCCTGATTCCAGGTCTGACCCAGACACCTGTGGAACCTCATGATCGACCAAATGAAAGCCAGCATTTCTGTCCCCTTCTAAGTGCTTCCCAGCCCCCACACAGCATAAATTATGGCACTTGCAGTTTTCCAAATCCATTACTTTGGCTTTTAATTTTTTTTATTTTGGAGGGAAGGGGTTAGATAAGCTGAGCTGGTGGCAGAGGTGTCTTCCAAATTAAAACTCTGGATTTCAGCATTAGAAACCTTTTTATTTTACTGCTTCTGAATACATTATAGTTACAAATTCCGCCAGGTCAGTCAATAATTTTGGTCATTTTTTCTAGTGCCTGTAGTCTCTTATAGAATCCTTTAAAGAGAGATAAAAAGTAGATCAGCAACAACATTAATGGCATATCCCCCTCCCTCAGTTAATTCAGGAGATGGCTTGCATAGCTGAATTTCCTCCCATCAGCTTTTAACTGCTAACCCAGTCCTCACACGTTTGAGATGTCAAGGAGTAAGATGCTGCCATATTAGGAAGTAAAATTGAAAGCTGGGCCTGATGGTTGCTATAGCTCAGACAAGGATGTCTTCTTTGGTTAGGAACCTCCAGCCTCTCCTCTCTACTAAACCAGTTTCTGCCAGCCATCCACACCAGCAAGTCTCAAGTTCTGATATATGGAATGAAATCCTGGAAATCAAAGAATATTGTCATTATGTTAGCAGAACAATTGGTTCCCATACTGGCTTTCTAAATGGGATTTCCAGTATGGTGCAAGTTTCCAGCTGCTATCGCATCAGCAGTTCCACTCAAGAGTAGTGTTAACCAATTGGAAGGTTTCTTCATTTAATGACCTTTTAAGTATTTAATAATAGACCACAGCACATGACTGAATGGAGCAATTTGTGGAACCAGATTCGCTTATGTCATTCACAAATTCTTTCCTCCAGTTCATGTACGGTGCTTTTTATGGAAAGTGTACAAGTTGCTCTATTTCTGTACCTTGCTTCAACCATAGTTTCAGTCTTCCACAACAGTACTAGGATCTCAAAATCCCTGGCAAAATCTTTGAATAGAAAATTTTAAATTATGGCCTGTGGATGTCCTTGATTTGGTGGTAGCTTTTGAGGCACTTTGTATTAAAAAAAAAAAAAAAAGCTTCCACACATTCTTTTTTAACCATGGCAGTGCCATAGAGTGCAAGATCTGTCATTTTCATGGTTCGCTCTGGGTATGGATGTGCTGTGATGTGATGTGCTTTTTGAGAATACATGGGGAAGGGAATCCTGTGTAAAAATCATGAAGATGAATGCCCTTGATCTAGGCTTTTGTGACATACCTGTGCTGGCATGCACAAGATCTGTTACTTTTCTTATTCATTCAATGGAGATGAAATTTTTATTGTATTCTGCGTCATGGCTGCAGAAACCTTAGTTTGATTCCAAGTAACAGGGCTTTGAGAGCCAGTACAGTGGTTTGAGTGCTGGACTGAGGCCCCCAGAGATCCATATTCTAGTCCCCACTCAGCCACGAAGCTCATGAGGAGACTTTGGGGCAGTCACTTGCTCTCAGCCTTACCTACCTCACAAGGTTGTTGTCAAGATAAATTGGAGCTATGGGTTCTTCGCAAGAGGAAAAAAGTAAATAAATGCCGTGCACCTTGATGTTTAGTCATGCCGGCCACATGACCACGGAGACTGTCTGCAGACAAATGCTGGCTCCCTCGGCTAGGAAACGGAGATGAGCACAGCCCCCAAGAATCAAACATGACTGGACTTTAATGTCATGGGGAAACCTTTAGCTTTAAATGCAATGCAATAATAATAATGAAGGAAATTTCCTTCTAACTAAAAATCACGTACAAAGCAGCTGCCTAATCATTTAACCGTTTTGTGAAAGCTACATCCTCACATACGACTTCCAAATCAGAGTTTTATAGTGTATCCTGGGTGTTAAATTGGAGACCCAGGTTCAGGTTTGCACTCAGTCACGAAGCTTCCTGTGTGAGTTGGCCCACTATGTGAACTAACCTCCCTCACCGGATTGTTCTAGGGATAAAATTGAGCAGGGGAGAATCATGTGCACCACTTTGGGCTCCTTGAAGGTATATGAATATAACAAATGTTGTTGTTGTTAGTCGCGAAGTCGTGTCCGACCCATTGCGACCCCATGGACAACATTCCTCCTTGTAACAAATGTTACTTACATGTTTAAACCTTCCAGACTCTGAGTTTGGATGGTATAAAAAAAGGATTTAAACCTCAACAATATAATGTAAGACATAATATAAAGTCCATTTATATACAAAACTATTTTAAACAAATATCCAAAGACCTGTTACAACTTCATCATATACTGTCAAACGCCTGCAAGTTAAGTTTTCACCTGCCATTGGAAAGATAATATCGAGACCCATCAAGACTTCACTGGCGAGAGTATTCAAGAAATGGGAGGTGGGGGCCTCAGCCAAAAAGGTCGTCTTATTTGTTGCCATCCTCTGAACGTCTCTCACAGGAGCACACATCCTTCATCTGAGGCTTGCTCCCAGAATGTATGGGTAGTTCTGCATTGGGATTGGAGGACTTTTCTCTCCCAAAAAGATTCAGGTGTGATAGGGGGCCCGTTCCGCTCTCCCTCATATATTTTGCCCTAAATAAATCCCACGAGTGTTGCGCGCCACCAACGCCCACCGACACCGGCCCACACCACGTACCCAGGGGGAACACTAGGGGGCCCCTTCCACTAAAGAGAAGGCGCTCCAAAGGAGGGGAGGATGGAGCGGCGCTGCCCTTGCTTGCCATTGGCCCACTTTCTGTGGGGTGAGCAGCGCAGTCCTGACAGAGCGAGAGGAAGCGGGTTCGACCGTCGCTCTGCAAGCCGGGAAGTCTCAGAGAAGAGGCTTTCTTCCAAGCTCACTAAACTACCACGTTTCCCTGCATGCCTCGTGAAAGCAGAATGGCGGGGAAGCGTGAGGAGCTTCTCGGCGCATTCTGGGAGTTGTAGGACCGTGAGCCGGGGCCGCTCTGCTCCGCCTCCTTCCTTCCTTCCCATCCGCTCTTGCGCGGGTCCCGTGCCTGCTGCCTGGGGCGGAGAAGAGGGAACGGCGTTGCGGCAAAGCGAGCGGCCGTCCGCGGGGGGCACTCAGCGCTGTGGGTCGGCTGAGCCCGAGCCCGAGCCCCGCCCGCCCCGCTCCGCCCGCCCCGCCCGGTGTTGGCCGTCTAGGTGGGCGACACCCAGGGAGAGGAGGGGGAAGCCGGCGGACGGGCGGTGCCCTGGGCGTGTGGGTGGGGCCGGCTCGGCGGCTCCGACTTCCCCTCCTGCCGCCAGTTCCCTCGCGGCGATACCAGCGAAAGGGCTGAAGCAGCGCTTACGGGAGGGGTTCTCGAGCCTTGGCCGCCGCCGCCTCCCCCGGCCCGGCCTGGCCCAGCCCGGCCCTCCCCTCGAGAGCCTGCTCTGAGGCAGACACGCGCCCCTTCCCACGCGCGCCCCGTCCCGCGAGAGCAAGCTCGACCCACGCACAGGAACAGGCTTAGCGCCGGCGCCGCCTCCGCCGCCTCCTACAACAGGGCATCGGCACAACACAAAAGCTTGTGTCGGGGTTCGAGCAGAGGTTTCCACGAGAGCACAGCTGCGGAGACATGAAGATCAAAGATGCCAAGAAACCATGTAAGAGCTCCCTCCTTCTAACCTCTCCAGCTCCTGCTTTCTCTCCGTTTCACTTCCTGATTTGAGAAGCTTATGCCTGAGCCTTCACATTTAAAAAAAAATAATTGGGACGACAGGCAGCAAACATTGGAGCAACTATTCTGGGTGAAAATGTCACTCCTTTTATTCTTACTGCTTGCTTGACAGTGGGGATCAGCCAGATAACTTCAACTCCACAACACTATTTATCCAAAAAAGTGGATCTTTCAATGCTTTTTTTCATAGTAGGTAGAGGCAGGTTGTCATTGGTCTAAGTCATATGCTTGGGTTGAGAGCTGTGGATGTCATAGTGAGGGACTAGAATCAAGGATGGTGTGAGACTTACTTTCTTGTAATCTATTGCTAAGAACCAGTTGGTTTCAATATGTGCTAGCATGTAATTTCTTTGCCAGCATTGCCTTACATGGGATGTGTTTTCTATTCAGAGTATACTTCTGTCTAGCAAAATACTAAGATGGGATGTGTTGTCATGCATGTACTTCTGTTTTGCTGAGTGGTTGCATCATGAATGTTTGTTAGGATGCTTCAGTGGCATGTGGCTTTCCAGTTACATATTACTTACATATTACTTACATGCTATTTACATATTTTTGCCTGCATGTTTTCCTTTAATGAAGTTTTAACTCTGTTGATGTTTTCATTGCATCCAGTGCCTTTCCATAGTATTACTACTACTATTATTAATGTAATCATTAATAATTGTATTTCTACACTGCCCATAGCTAAAGCTCTCAGGGCAATATACAACATTAAGTCACCCATCCAGATTTCAGCCAGCCTGATCCTGCTTAGCTGTCAAGTTTAGGCAAGAACAGGCATTTCAGGATATGCAGAAGTGTATAATATAAATTGTGCCATATAAATAAAGAGTGTGATTGTGTCAGCTGGAAACAGAGTTTTAAAAATACAAATAATTTTATAGATAATGTTAGTAGCTTACTATCATGTTTGATCTCATTATACTGGGAATTCTAGTAGGACAAAATGTTCTCAGTGAGCTCACAGAGGAAGCTGGGATTAAGCTGCTATTCAGTTGTTAGTGCATGTAGCATTTCTTATCTCTTGGATTGTTGTATAAACTTTTTAGGAATACTTCTGGTAGTTAAGCAAATCTACTGCTTGAGACCAAGGATTTGTTCCTACTGAATGCAATGAAAAGTAACTCCAAGTGTGCCCACAATTGCAATCTAAGTGAAGGAAAGCAGTGTGTTCTACTTTTGCTCATGGCATTTTTTCAAATGAGGCAAAGGAATAGGATCTAGTGTTGCACCTTTCTGAGTAGCCACACAAGTGTGTAAAAAGTGGGGGGCGGGGTTAGTTCAATGTAAGTGGCTTTTCCTAGCATGTTATAACAGGAAGGCACAGGCAATACTAGAGGAGATAGCTGTAAAAACTTGTCAAGATAAGAGTTCTCAGGCACTAGCAGCTGTGGTGTATCTTTTTTGCCCTTTGGTCTTGGAAGGAAAAAATCTGTAAGAGTCTGGAATTCAAACAGAGCACCTAATAAAATGTCAGGTTGTTGCAGCAAGTTTCTTAATGGAATCAGGTGTTGCCTCTCCATCCTGTTCTGCTCTGTCTTCCTTGCTCAACCAGCTCACATGTAGTTCCTTGGAAGTGACCTGTTGAAACATAAAATGAAAGTGTTGAAACTTGCAGATATTTGAAGGGTTTTACTTCAGTGCCCGGAAAGTGACAAGTACTTTTATGATTTTTCACTAAAGACAGAGTTAGGTTTTGCAATTCCCCCCACCCCCGTTGTTACTTTTGAAAACTTGCTACTCATAAGCTGCTTTTGAACAGCAGAGGGGCAGTTAGTAAACAGTTTATTCTACTTCATGTACTTACTACTGCGTTTCATTAATTTTATGTTTCTCCTTGTGCACTTACTGATTTTATCCTATTGTAATGAATTCCTCATTCTACTAGTGTTTATGTAATGAGTATTTTGTTTTATGTTTTCTTCTATTATTCCTGTGTTGTATTGTACTTATGTTTTATTTTATTGAAATAAAATTATTCATATATGCATGCATTTTTACCCCACCTTTCTTCCTCTTGCTGTAAACCCAAGGCAGCTTATAATGTTTCCTTATTTCCAGCTCTGTGGAGACTAAAATCTGTATCTCTCACCTTCTAACCACCACACCACCTCACATCTGATCATAGCAAGTGTTTACAAAAAACATATTAAATATATAGCAACATGCTACAAGGTTTTGAATACTGTGGGTCTTTTTTTGAAAAAGATGATAGAGTTCTGCTGCAAACTAAGGAATAGCATAAAATGTTTAATCAGAATGACTAGAACTAAAATAGTTTGTTTAGTCAAGTTTTGACTTTTATTCTTAATGAGCATAGCAGTTCAGCCAGATAATTATATCCAAGCACAAATGTGTACCTGGATGACAATGCAATCTTATGCATATCCAAATAAGTTCAGTGGGTCTTACTCCTTAGTAAGTGTATCATCAGATTGCACCTCAAGTCATTCAATATCAAGTTGTCTTACACAGAAAATATGGTGGTAAATATTCTCAGTTATCTAGATTTGTACTGCATCTTGTCTAATGACTTACATCTTAGCACTTAACATCTCACCTATAATTCTCTTATAAATTATGGTCACATAATTTATAAATGGTCCTTTAATGTACGTGAAATTGTATTCCACTAGATCAGAAACATATTCCTGACAGGTATTTTGAAGTAAGTCTAATTAACTCCAGCACTGCAGGCTTTCACAGACAGGTTTGTTCTGATTTGTGTACTCCCAACATGTTCATGTAGAATTAATATCCAACTTGCAGATACAGAGAAAACTAGTGGGACCCAGTCTTTTTGGGGTGTAAACTGTGCAAGAAGGACCAGGAAAGGCATAGTGGATAAGCTGTTGCTCTGAATGTGAGAGAGCATAGCAGTATTCAGTAGGCTGGAAAACCTGAAGGAAACCGCTCCACAGAAGCAGGCTCCAGAATTTAGTGCCAGAAGCATTACCCTCAGAAATCACCCCTAGGGAAGAATACTCAGGGTAAACTTGAGATGGAAAATGAAACCAAGGAGGCCTCCAAAGGAGGAAAAGCTGTAATAATGGGAGATTTCAGTTCATTCATCCAATCTATGTGGCTGGTGTGTTCAGCCTAAACAAAGATTACTGTTGTGCTTATGGACTACTTGTGAGCTTTGCATGGGCAGCTGGTTGGCCATTGTGGGAACAGAATGCTGGGCTAGGTGGGCCGTTCATTGGGCTGATCCAGCAGGGCTCTTCTTAAGTTCTTTTTTTTTTTTAAAGCATGGGTCCATTTTTAAGGCTAGAAGCTCTTGCTGCCCTGTGGGCGGAAAAAAGCAAGGTCCAAAGTCTTCTGGGTGGCCTTGGTGAAGCTTTATTGCACAATACTGAAGTATTATAAACAGCTGACTGATGTTTTGCTGCTAAGTGCAAACAGGGATTGCAATTTCTTTCCCTGTAAGACATGCAGAAAATTTGTTAAACTGGCAAGGTTCTGGAAAATCGTCAAAGTGGAAAGCATAAGCTGACCTAGAAAAAGATGTGATTTACAAGTATAATCAAATCTACACAACCCAGTGAAATCTGTTAAATTGTGTGTGTTTATGTCTTTTCTCATAAACAGTTCATCAAAAACTAAAGAGCATTTTTCAGTGTACCTTTATTTTACTCTTAGGGTGGAGAAGTTGAAAAGGGGAGAAGCATGGCGGAGTGCCATATTTCATTTACATTTATTATTAATATTATTATTATTTGTTTAATGCAAATAGTATGATAAGGATCAGAACTCAGCTTCTCTATCTTCCGCCTTACAGCTTTTTCAGGAGTATCCTAACAAGATCCTGCAGCCCCTAGAAATTGATTTTTTTTATGTGCAGTGGACTTTGTGGGAACAAGTGGCAGTCCGTAAAAGAAATTTTTGGTGCGTGTTTACTGTGGAGTAAAGCTGAGAGCAAAGTTAGCAGATGCATGCTAACAATTGGAGATATGCGTGTGGGCTGCCCTGCAGTTCTCTTACGAACTGCCACTATAATGCCACACAGTCATTCTATAGGAATGAAGAGGGTTACAGTGCAGGCAAACAAGGGGACATTCAGTCTTGACTTTTCATATGTGTAAAACTCTCTAATGGCTACTTTATTTCTCCACAGCTTTTCCATGGTTTGGTATGGACATTGGGGGAACACTTGTGAAGCTCGCATATTTTGAACCTATTGATATTACTGCTGAAGAAGAACAGGAAGAAGTTGAAAGCCTGAAGAGTATTCGTAAATATTTGACATCAAACGTAGCCTATGGGTCCACTGGTATTAGGGACGTCCACCTTGAACTCAAAGACTTGATACTCTTTGGGAGAAAGGGAAATTTACATTTTATCCGGTTCCCAACACATGATTTGCCAACATTTATTCAAATGGGAAGAAACAAGAACTTCTCGACGCTGCATACGGTGCTCTGTGCCACTGGCGGTGGTGCCTACAAGTTTGAAGAAGATTTTCGCACAGTAGGTAGCTCGGTTGCCTCTTCTGTCGCATGTATTCAATTCAGACATGCTGTTGCCTGTTGTGGGGCAGTAATGAACCGGTGTGATCATCATTGCTCCAGCTACTTCTGCATCTTTTGTCTCTTCCTGCAAAGCTCTTGCCTGCATGACAGTGACTGCAATCCATGAACAAAGTCTAGCACCTTCCTGGCCCATTGCTGAACCTGAGCCTAGACCCATTGCTGAAATCACCCAGTTCATTTAATTATTATGCCAATTAATTAATTAATTCACACATGAATTCATTTGTGAGTCTCCCTGTCCCTGCAGCTATCTGAGATGCATGCATGGTGGAAACCCAACACAATAATATCAGTGAAATTGTTTAAAACTTTTTTTAAAAAGGCTAAGCAAGAGCATTTTAAACACTGAAGGTAAAATGTGAATCATAAAGAAGGGCTATTTTAAAACTTAAAACTCAGCACAGAGAAGGGCAATTTTAAAAAGCAGACCTTATTGTGAGGAAAGAAGCAAGGTAAGCACATGTAAAGGCCTGAGGTCTGTCTGGTGCCAGAAATACAACTAGGTTGTCACCAGGTGAGCCTCTCTAGGAGGAAGTGAGCAGGTTGAGGTTCACTACAGAAGAGGCCCACTCATGAGCGGCGCCGGCTGGAGCCAGGGGTCCGACTTGATGGCCCGGAGGCCCCTTCTGACTCGTTCTGTTTCTATCTGCTGAATTGGCGTGCCTCTAGTGGGCCTGCAGAGCTGTGGTATAAGCCTCCCATTCCTTCTTTCTTGCTGAAGAACAATGAAAGTGTTTCAGCAGTGCATATGCACATTTAAAAGTGTGCATATCTATATATATCAGTATGTCTGAAAAAAAGTCTTGGTCGTGGTAATACTGTAGTCATGCCAGCTGCTTAGGAGCAAATTTTCATTATTTTCTCGTCTGAACTAGTGAACATTTATTTAGTATATCTATATACCACTTTTCTACGTAAAACTATAACCTTAAAGTAAAAACAACTCACAGAAAATATTGACTTACCCAAATGCAACATTTAGTAGAAGAAAAAATCTTATAGGACCTCATTGAATTGATACACAGAAGCCGTTCAATAAATATAAATAAATGCGATATTGGAATGAGACCAGTACTGAGCAAAATCAGAATTGGGCGGCAGTGGTGGCAGCCGTGTGTGGGGTGGTGCATGCGAGAAAGCTGCAGAGCCGAGTGCATGCACTCCCTCTGCCTGCGGTGCTGGTGGCGGAGGAGGAGTCTGGTTGCTCCGTTGCCCTCTTCTCCCTGGTTGGTTCTTCCTTTTTTGTTTGTTTGTTTGTTTATTTATTTATTAAAACATTTCTATGCCACCCCTTGCCAAGGCCTCGGGGCGGCTTACAACATCAAATACAAAATACATTAAAACAATAACAATTAAAATATATACAGTAAAATAAAATAAGCCGCCCTGGCCGAATAAAATTCAATAACATTAACATTTAAAATGCTGCTTAAATAAAAAGGTCTTCGCCTGGCGCCGAAAAACAAATAACGACGGCACCAGGCGGACCTCTCTGGGGAGCGCATTCCATAACTTAGGTGCCACCGCTGAGAAAGCCCTCCTCCGAGTAACCACCCTCCTAATTTCCTTCACTGAGGGCTCCCGGAGGAGGGCCTCTCCTGCTGATCTCAAGGGGCGGCTGGGCATATATGGACGTAAGCGCTCCTTCAGGTAACCAGGACCCAAGCTGTTTAGGGCTTTATAGGTCATCACCAACACCTTGAATTGGGCCCGGACTTCAATGGGAAGCCAGTGAAGCTGACGGAGAACTGGAGTCATGTGAGCATAACGTCCAGTTCCCGTCAGCAGCCTGGCAGCTCTATTTTGAACCGATTGAAGTATCCAGACCGTCTTCAAGGGCAGCCCCACGTAGAGCGCGTTACAGAAGTCAAGACGGGAAGTCACCAGTGCATGAGTCACTGTTGCGAGGCTGTCGTACTCCAGATGGGGGCGCAGCTGATGAATCAGCCGAAGCTGAAGGAAAGCGCTCCTCGCCGCTGCTGTTACCTGAGCTTCGAGTGAAAGCTCCGGGTCGAGGAGCACTCCCAAGCTGCGGACCTTGTCCCTGGGAGGGAGTGCAACCCCGTTCAGGACAAGGTTCAATTCACCTTCTCCGAAGCCTGAACCGCCAACCAACAGGACTTCCGTCTTGAGTTTGAACCTTAACCATGCAAGTGTCAGCAAAATGCCTGCCTGCCTCTTCCCTGCCTTTTCTCTCCCTGCCCCCAGTCCATAATAATATGCCTGCATGCTCCTTGTGGTCTGTCAGGTTGGGGGCCAGGCCACTGCCTCCCCGCCCAGCTCCCACAGCAGTGAGTTTTCCGACTGTTGCAGCACTCAGTGCTGCTCCCTCAGGTGCACCCTTTTCCAGAGGGTGCACCGGCATGGATGGGCCCTGTTGCTTCGAGCACTCTGCTCTCTCTGCTTTAACTTTATTCAGTGCTCAAGTGGCCATCCTGTCTGTCGCAGCAACTGCCCCAAGCGCGTGCGCAGTGGTCCACCGGGTGCTGCTGGTAACAGCTATGGAACATCACCAGTTCGGTATCATTTCCTTGGGAAGTGACTCCTCTGGCTATAAGATGACTTTGCCCCGTGCTGAAAAAGCAGGTCATTAAGAACATTGTGAACCGAGACCTCCTTTGTGTCCGTGCCCTGGTGCTTTTTGGAAGTGGGGAGCCCCCTCTCATGCACCATCACAAGGTGGTGATTATGATGCTTCAGGGCGAAGGTATTGCTGCACTTGCTACAGTCAGGAGTGTATTTGATACTGTGGACTCGGTTATGATGCGATCTTGCTCCGGCTTTCACTCCACATTACCCCTGGAGAAGCAGGTGAAATAAGGTGGCCGCCGGCAGTTCTTTGCAGTTGCACAGCTGAAAGCGTCACTTTTGGTCACAGGGCCGTTGACCTAGGAAGTAATTCCTCAGTCCGTTCATGAGGGGATCACAACTGCTATTGTGAACAATGGCTCTAGTCTTCAAGACAAGTGTTGCACTTTTTGTTGTTGGTTTTCTCCCCCCCCCCCCCCAAAGAATGGCAGTGCAGGCCTTGAAGAAACTCTGATGTTTTCTGGCCAAGGTCTAAGAAAAAAACATCCAAAAGTACAGGAAACAGTTGCATGTAATGCATCTTGTGTATTTGGTAATGCATCTTGTATGATTGCATATATTAACTGCAAAATAGGCATCCTTTTTATTATGGACTGATTTTACAAACAGGGCTACAAAAAATCTAAATTAGTTTGCAGATTAATTGTATTTTCAGAACAGATACTTGTTTCCTTTGTGGTATTTTCTTTTAACTGGTAAGCACCACACGCAGACGGATGCCTGACTGCTTCTTCTCATTTCTCCTCTTTGTCCTTTCCTTCTGCTTCCTTTGTAATTCACCTCATAGTTACTGTTGTTCTTGTGTAAGCTTTCTGTATAATAGTGCATTTTCTTACAAAACCAAAATTAGTCATGTGGCAGACTTGGAAAAGGTTTTCCTACTTGCAGGCTAGTCTTGATTATTTCATATATGAAACATTCTTTATTGTAAAGACGCCATAATTTTTAGTTAGGTTAAGTATAGCTTGTGATCTTTTAAGTTTGCATAAGAGATCGTTTGACTTTAAAGTGACTGCTGATGTTTGTGATGTGGAAGAATCGTAAGTTTTTGAAGTCCAGACTAAACCAGAGTGAAGAGAGAACCAACTTCCCTCTCTTAGGTTGCCATGCTAGGTTTCTTCAATATCTGCCAAATCTTCTTAGTGGAGCATGTTGCATTAACATTTCTTTTTCTTTTTCACAGATTGGAGACCTCCAACTGCACAAACTGGACGAACTTGACTGCCTTGTCAAAGGCTTGCTGTATATAGATTCCGTCAGCTTTAATGGTCAGGCAGAGTGCTACTACTTTGAAAATGCATCGGAACCCGAAAGATGCCAAAAGATGCCTTTTAACCTGGACGATCCCTACCCCTTGCTTGTTGTAAACATTGGTTCAGGAGTCAGTATTTTAGCGGTCCATTCCAAAGACAACTATAAGAGAGTGACTGGAACAAGGTAGAGATTTGAATACATTAAATGAAATTATCTTCTGGTGTGTTCTTCATGGACCTCTTCCAGACTCCTACAGACTGCATGAAGAAATGCTTCTCCTTTAGTATCTTTTTTATTTTGTAGTGGGATCATGCAGTTTTCCTGTGTTAAGTGCAGTATAATTTGGCAACCCCAAAATTAGTTTTGAGAGTTGTGTTTTCACTGATCTCCATATCGGAAAATGAAAAATCTATCCAAGAACTTTTCAGAAGGTTGTACAGTTCAATCGTACAGTTGACAGTGTTGCTTACCACCTCAATCAGTTGGTTATGCAGGCTGCTTGTTTTAAAAAATGGGAAGATAGAAAGAAGGAAAGAAAATGTGTAGAATAGGAAAGCTTTGGCCTGCCCAGTTGCATGTAGCTGCTGCTCTGCTCATGGCTGCAATTGTTTAGTCATGGTCCAGTTTGCCAGGAGCCTTGTAAAACTTGGCTACCCTTAAGCAGCACTGCAGCTACTTGGCTTTGCATACCAGTGAAATGGTTTCCAGAGTGTCTGTCTGGGTGCCAGGGGTTCCCATGCCTGCTTAGCGTTCTGCTTTTCTGCTGTGAAGGTAGCACTCATTACCCAGGTGTCTTTATGGTACAGTAGGCTACTGCCAGTGATGCCCGAGTTCACTGACAGCATCTTCTGCAGAGCTCTGCCCTTGATTCCTTCCATAGGTTGTAGCTCTCCCCCGTTGTCTTTTGAACTCACAGTGCCCCTTGTCTGGTCTTGATAAAGAAGACAACTGCACTGTGGTATTAACGTTATTAATTTTAGAGGTGGCCCCATTTACACTCACTCCCTTTATTTCCCCACCAGTCTAGGTGGTGGGACCTTTCTTGGCTTGTGCAGCTTATTGACTGGATGTGAAAGCTTTGAAGAAGCGCTGGAAATGGCATCCAAAGGGGACAGCACGCATGCTGACAAGCTTGTCCGGGATATTTACGGAGGAGACTACGAACGGTTTGGCTTGCCAGGGTGGGCAGTGGCGTCCAGGTAGGTGTGGCAAAGAGCACTGGTCGTGTGTGTGCCCATGCACCTGCGTTTGTTCAACCGAGAAATACCGGATTGAAGGAGGCTAGGAATTTTTTCTTTTAAAAGCAATGTGGAGTTTTTAAGCGTGGTGTGTTTAGTGCAGTAGCGATGCAGCCGGTGCGGTTGGACTGGAGACCAGGGAGATCCAGGTTTATTTATTTATTTATTTATTAAAACATTTCTATGCCGCCCCTTGCCGAAGCCTCGAGGCGGCTCACAACACAAAACAAAATACAATAAAATACAAAAATAACAATATAAAATTAATATAAAATAAATAACAATATAAAAGGAAGTCGCCCTGGCCAGATAAATAAGCAAATATTGTTAACAATTAAAATGACGCTTAAATAAAAAGGCCTTCGCCTGGCGCCAAAAAACAAATAACGAATTTGTTTACAAAATTCGTTTGTACAAAAACAAAAAAACAAACAGGTTCTCGTCCTCACTTGGCCATGAAGCTCACTGGGCTGCCACCCTCACCTGCTTCGTGGGGCTGCTGCTGTGAGGACAAAAGGGAGAGGAGGATTGCATCAGCCACTTTAGGTTCCTTACAGGGAAAAAGGTGTGCTATAAAAAGACATGCCTGCTGCGCAGAGAAGCTAGTTTGGAAGTCTGTTCTTTACTCATCACCATCATCATATTGTATCCATATGCCGCCTTTTTTCTTCTCATGAGGAATCCAGAGTGGCTTACATGACTCTTAGTTTTCCTCGCAATAACATCGACCCTTTGAGGTGGGGTGGGCTAAAAATGAGCGTTATGTTAACTTCTGGTATTTGTGCTTAGAAGCAAAATGGCAACATTGTGTTGCTCACATGATGGTCTCTTACCCCTCAGCTCCTGTTCCATCCCTTCCATTTTTAGTCCACATCTTCGAACAAGAAAGTTCAGATCATGACACACCCATTGTCAATTAAGGGCACAGTCCTCTGGATGTTTAGACAGAAATTCTATTGCATTCTGTAGTAACTTTTTTTAATGCATATGGTTGCAAAATAAGCTTGGAGAAGCTTTAGGCTATGTCTGCTCAGAAACTAGCAAGAGATTGTTGCTTTAGTATTTCAAGGTAACTGAACTCTTCCTCTCCCAGAAGAACTTCAGTGCTTTTTGCCTGGAGGGTAGGCTTGTTTCTGTTCCAAATTCTGTTTATCAAGTCCAAAACCAAAAATGTACAAATAGTTCAGAGAAACTGGTTTTTGAAATCAAACAGTTAATGTGTGCATGCAGATAGAGCCATCCATTGTACTATATCCATTTTGTCCTATGGAAGACTAGGATAAGTGACTGTTTGCTTATTCATGGTTCCCTTCCTCCGGAGAAGTCCTTAGGAAAAAGAGGAAAATCTGGATTCCAGCTGGGCAGCAATAATGGGTAACTCCTCCCGTCAGCATAACTGCTGTCACAAACGAATTGAGTGGCTTACAGATATGGATAATAGTACCCCTCCCGTTAGAACAAAGCTGTTACAACATGACAGTAATGAGCTGCCAGTGTATTATCCTTGTTTCCCCACTAGCACCTTCAGCTGGAGGCACCCGGACAGCCCTCTCATTTTAGTCGATGGGGCGCAGCGTTCCATCCCAGCCTTCCCACCCATGTTACTCCACGAGTCCTGAGCAGCTCATCCAGTGCCCCTTTGACAGGAGCCACCCGATCAGAGCCTGCAGATTCCCTTTCCACTTGGTGAAACGCAGAAAGAGCAAGCAGAAGCTCACCAAAGAACAACTGGGCTGCCCTTAGATTGGCTGTCTCAGAGTTCCCAAAAAAGAACTCGGCTTGCACGTGGTTAGTCGCAATAGGTTTGTGGTGGCCCCTGGCTCAGAGATAGAATCAAAGTGGAGATGGCGTTGCAGCATCTTGTCCCCCTGCCAGCAAGGAAAACTGAGAGGCAGATGCTGATGAATGTCCCCCCCCCTTTTATTTTTGGCAGCACTTACTCTGGCCAGAGGTGCTGGAATCTGAATCTTCCTCTTTTCCAAAATGACTTTTCCTTGGTGTTGTTGCTGGGGGATGGGATGGCTATCAGCCTTCTCAGGAGGGGAACAAAACTAGCACTTGAGTTGGACTGCAGAAGACTCAGTAAAGACAAACGGTTTCCGACGCTTAAGGCAAGCCCATTCCAACAATGCAAAATATTTTTAAACCATTTTTGGATCAGCCTCAACTTTTAAAGCATGATATTGATGTAAACTGGGAGTGGGATGGGAATAACGTAGTATAACGTCGTGGGTTCTTTTTCTTTCTAGCTTTGGGAATATGATCTACAAGGAAAAACGGGAATCTGTTAGTAAAGAAGACCTGGCTAGAGCGACATTGGTTACTATCACCAATAACATTGGATCTATAGCACGAATGTGTGCTGTAAATGAGGTAAAGCTTAGGTGGGAGGGAGGAGCAGAGATGTCACATGATGGCTTTTGAAGCCCACTTTGGGAAAGAAGTGTACAAGGACTTTCTGATACATCTGTCAGCCTTTTTACTGGGCACAAGCAAGCGAGTTGTTTTCCTCACACCGCAAAACTAGCTTTTCAGGATCTGTAATTCCCCTTCTACTTTAAAATGTTCCCTCCAGAGTCTGATGGTGAACTATGGAGATGATAATTGCTAGTTAACAAGAGGAGTCCAGTTTGCCAAGAAAATGTTATACACTTAGCGGTATTATATAATTGGACTCGGGCAGGAGTCTGTGCCTTCACAAGTCTGTACCTTGCATGCAAGCGCACACTTCTGTCTGTTGCTGCTGTCGGAAGTGCACATCTGCTTCAGAGGCATAAATGTAGGAATGCAGAAATTGTCTTGCCTGACTAAAACATGATGCCAAAAGGAGGAAGGAACCAGTCTCGGATGCATTTCTTGTTGCTTTTGGCTTCTTTACAGTGCTGCCTTGTTGCAAATGGATCAAGCAGCATTGTACAGGGCTATGAAAACACCAAGTATTTCTTCACTGTAGACAGCGCTTTGATTTGACTGGATTCGATCCTTCCCACATTTATTTGACTCACCCAGGGTTAAGATCCAGATGCTTGAGATCAGATCTAGTTGAATGACTGTTGTCTCTCCAGCGCTGTTTCCAGCTGTGTAGATACCTCTTACACTGACAGCAGTCATCAAAGCACAACTCCAAAGAAAAAGGGGAAAAGATCAGTAAAAACAAGAATAGAAAGATCTGATTAGGGGCTTTTCTACATGTATTTGATGTGCACTCATGATTCCTTACACATGGTCATTTACAGGCTTGTCAGCTGACATAATAATCCTTCTGTTTCATTTCTGTTTTTTCTGACCACTTTCTGACCATGGCTGCTGCTGTGTACTTTTAAGAACAGGAAGATGTGCTGTTCAGTTACAACAGGGGAAATGGTGTTCTAGTTCACGGAGTATTAATGCTGTTCCTCTGTAGCACAGCTCCACCTGGAGGGTGTGCAGAATGGGAAAAGAAAGGATTCTTCATGCAGAGCTTGTGTCCCATTGCTGTGACAAAACCAAAAGTAGATACAGCAGCAGCTGCACAATAAATGCCTTGCGTGGGGAAGTCCCAAAACCCTGCTAGGGGAGATGCTGGAAGGCCCAGGGAAAGAAAAAGGCCCTTGCATTGTGCTGGAAATTGGGTGCCAGGTAAAACTCCCCATTCAGCATTTGGAACACCACAGCTGAGAATTGCTTCCCATCACTGTCACCTCCCAGGCTTCAGACGCTGGCGGGTCAGACGGAGATGGTGAATTTAAGATCAGATGAGCTCAGGTGAGGTGGTTGAACTCTCCACCTTCACGTTGGCTTTGGGCTGGACTCTGACCTTGCTCCCACTGGTGGCAGCAGCTCCTGAGCAAAGATTCACCTGGGAAGCACTCCCACCTGTGAAAAAGGTTGGAGGCAAGTTCTGGTGCCCCCCCCCCCACACACACACATACAGCTCCCTTGCAGCCCCCGAAAATCTGCTCTGGTGTGCTGAGGGACTGAAACAGTGCGGGCAGTGATGCTGTGGGACAGGGGAAGTGGTGAAAGCCTCTTCCCTCTCCCTTCTGCTGGCTCAGGCACCATCTGTAAATGTTTTGTAAAAGCATTGTAAATGCATCTCCAGTGAATTCTGGATCTGGCCCACTGGCAATTTTCTAGGCCCCTACACAATGCTCAAATATATGGTGCAATGTATAGATACAGAATTCTAAATATGAATACACTATAAACTGCCCCACAACAAAAATTGTGGGAAGGATGGCACATGAATTATTTTGAACAGATACGGAACAAAACTGCACCTATATTTTTTTGAAGCCACCGTTGTCCACGTGCCTGGGGCAGTGCAGAATATGTGTGACTTCTGCGTAAGCATGCAAAGGATTATGTTGGTCATCTTTTTCTTGCATCCCAGTGAGGAATCTTTTATTGGTCTTTTCCTTTAGAAAATAAACCGTGTTGTCTTTGTTGGAAACTTTTTGCGTGTGAACACGTTGTCGATGAAGCTTTTGGCATATGCACTGGATTACTGGTCCAAGGGCCAATTGAAGGCTCTGTTCCTAGAGCATGAGGTATGTATGACTGCAGCTGCCAAATATCAAGTTGCCCAACTTTTTTGGGTTGGTGGGCGCATTTGGATTGTTGAGGCAATATCATGGGTACTTTCACAAAATGGTGCCATGAGGTGGGCTTGTCCATTCATGTGCACCATGTTGGATACTCCAGGTATACTCCCAGGGCCTTTGAACTTCACAGTTACTGTCTTCTTTCCTAATCTGGAAGAATAGTTTTTGAGAGGGATTTTTGTCCTTGAATTACTGAGATGGCAAAAGAAAAACCTGAATACTGGATTACTGTTTCTATTTAAACAGGAGATCCTTATATTTAAAAGTTCATATAAAAAGTAGGTTGTATCCTAGAGTTTCTGTTAAATTTTTTCATTAACCTTGTACATCAATTAATGTACTTGACAAAGATAAGGGGTCTGAAATAGTCAAAATTGCTGAAATCTCTTTCAGGGGGGCTTAACGATGCTTGGAATGTTCCTGCCTTGTATTAATTGCTTGGGAAAGACAATTTTATTCTAGGTGCCTTAATGAAAGCAGTGAAATATCAAATGGTACTGTTCGTAATTATGCATTTTGTTAGTTTATTCAGGAATAACTATCCTATTTGCAAGTATCATGGGAGAATAAGGCTGCTGCTCGTTAAGCTAGCTTTGTACTTTTAGAACATGAGTTTTCAGTGTCATTCTCCCTGGACTCGGCTGAAATCACCGAGCCTTCAAAATAAGCAGCTGTGCAGGACAGCGGGCATCAGTCTTGCCACAATAATTGTCCACAGGCCTGCAGCTTCATGAGCTCTGTCCAGTCTGGCACAACAGCTGGACCCCGCAGTTCCATCCCACAAACCCCAAAAACTCTAGGAGAGCTCCAAAAACCCTTTCCATTTCTGCAAATGGCTATGCAAGCAGTTGCACACTCGGCTGAGCAAGCGTGATGTGTACAAGCATAACAGACTGCCTGCAGAACAGCCGCTGTGCTGATGCAGCCTCAGTTGGATTCTCCTCTTGGGCATAGTCTGGAGCCTAGCTTCTGCTAGTGCAACGCCAGTGCCACTAATGGAACGGTGCATTTGCACACTGCCCCAGTCAGTAACTGTACACAAGGTTCTGCTTTAGCCCTAGATACTGGCTGTGTCTGCAGGAAAGCCAGCAGAGTTGTGTGCGTTTGCAATGACCCACTGCCAGTCACAGGCTGGGAAAGGCAGTTGGAGTGACTTGTGACAGGAAGAGCAGGGAGGGACAGAGGGGAGGAAAACTAGTGGAGCACAGCATGGCTGTGTCAGAACGATCCCCTGAATGTTTCGTACGAGGTCTGGTTTAGAACCGCTCGTATGCTGTTAATGTATTTAATCTACCCAATTTTCGGATGTCTGTGAGGGAAAGCTGAAAGAGATTTTCTCAGGTTTGTGTATTTTGTGGGAAAAGGCCTAATTGAATATGGTTGCCAAAATTACATTGTGCAAATTCTTCTTTTTAAATACAGGGGTACTTTGGAGCTGTTGGTGCCCTACTTGGATTGCCAAATTTCAGCTGAAACTGAAAGCATCATAGTCCTGAATTGTCCCTTACCTTTCTGGAATTATTACAACACTGTTTTTTATACCAACTGGAACCAAAGTGGGGAAGGGCTGCAGTCTTTCTGTGAATGTCCTTATCTGTCAGAATTCTTGTCTCTCATGGAGGCAGAGTTTGAAATCAAGGTGTTTGTGTAAGGGGCAGTGGCCAGCTAGTGACTTGCATATATGGCATCTCTTACACGTACCAAACTTTCAGTGCGCCGTACAGTCCCTGAAAAATGAGCCTCAAAGTCAAAATTGGAATATTAGGCTTAGCTGTTCAGACTGCAGTGCAGATTTAAATGTGCTTCAAAAATCAGCCAGCACGACTATTTGATTGCACCTAGTTGTGCAACTCTTGTATTCACTGTCCATTTGAGAGTTATTTTTCATTGGTTCCAAAACTAATCCACCCATAACCATATCCAAGCACTGTCTACTGAAAATAAAGGAAGAAAATAATTTTCTTTCAGAGCAAGCAAATCATAACATGTTGATGTACTTATTTCAGATTTTCCTATATTAGGGTTTCCAGAAAATTAAAAGTAAAACAATCAGCAGAGACTTTGTATAATTGTTTTAATGAGTTTTAAGCAACTGAATATGCATCTGTATAAACTACTCATTGCATAGTCAAATTTTGTTAAGTTGTGCTTAACAAAAGCAGAGTTCATCTGCATTACAGTCCTGTACATGATTTGCTTAGAAGTAAGCTCTGCTGAGTTTGGTGGGGCCTACTCCCAGGTAAGAAGGTACAGAATAGTAGTCTCAATGGTTGTGTGTGTAGGATTTTCCATCGAACCTGACAAGGTTTTAAAAGGTTGTCAATTTTTTAAAAAACCTGTATCTCAGATTCACTCATTTCTATAAAAATGTGCCAGTAAATGTAACTGAAATCCAAGCAGCAATACCATTCCAGTTGTTGGATTGCCAGCTCCGTCGAGGTGTCATGCCGTGCGGTATCTCAGCTTAGTTAAACATGTGAGGACATTGGTCCAATGGAATCTGTGTTGACCCAAAATGTGAAGTTGGGAGCCAGTCCGTGTCTGAAGGAACCGTGGCAGCTTAGAGGTTGTACTGCACAGTCCAGAGGTCTGGCATTTGTCATAGTCTAATGAACTGTTCCCAACATTGCAACAACGTGGCCTTGAGATAAACTCCATGCATTGGGGCTACTCCCATATTTTAACTATCTGCTATTTCAGACTTGATTGTAAAAGTTTACAGTAGTGGCATATTTGTAGTAGATTGCTGCAGCAAAGCTTACTGTAAGACCTCAGAAAAAAATCATCTCAGAAAAGAAACTTTCTATGCACAAGGAGAGAGGTGTCGATGTATTGTGAAGGAATATGCAGTTAATTCAGTCCATGAACTATAGGGGAATTGACCACTGGTTAAAGCTCATAGAGCTCAGGCCTAGAGCTTGATTGACTTGGTCGCATTGATAAGATTTTGGCACACTGGTATTTTTTACAGCAATATCTGTTTGGATAATGTATTTCCAGACAGCTAGTGTGTGTGGCTTTTTCCTTTTAAAAATCCTGTTCCTTAGAACTACACTTGTGGGCTCATTAGCAGTCCTTTGTATTTAATTCAGAATAGTGTTGACATGCCTCATACTACCCACCTGTGCTATTTTCCAGTGTTAGAACTGAAATATGAGCAAACTATTTCTAGCACAAGGCTATATCCAGAGTTGTTTATGTATTCCGTTGGTCCCCTGTTGAGGCACTGGCCAGAAGATGCAGCCTGAGCAAAGCGTCTTATTACTGGGATGCTATACTTGAGTATTCTGGCCCAATTGTGGTCATCTTTAAAACAAAGTCTAATAATGAATCCATAAATAATCACGTGGAAGTGAATTCTTACCTTTAAAAAAAACTTACACAGCTCAGGCATGTGTTTCAATTCCAATATGTTACTGATTGTGATGAGCACGTTTCGTGCAAAACCTTGGCCATATGAGAATAACCTAAAATAAATCTCCATGAGTTGCCATTTAAAAATTGATATTGTGTAAGAGATGAGAACATTGATTGGAACCTGCCCCTCCCTCCAAAGTCTTACTTGATCTTGGAGTCTGGCCTCCCACTGCATTGATTTCTGCGGATGCTGTTGGGGGTGCCCTGGTGGGCAGGCCGGGAGAGGATCTGACTCCACTCGATTTCCAGCCCTCACTTACCCTACAAGCATGGGGGAACCAGTGTTGTTTAAACCAGTGTCAGCACTGGTGCAAATGAATTCCTTTCCTGTTGCTCAAAATGGGAAGGGATAATTTTCCAAGCTTTTTCCCTACAAATGGCTTTGGATTGAGTGTTTCCTTTATTTGGACTCTCTTCCTTTAGAATTGCTCTCTAAAGTGCTTCCAGATGAAGCTTTTATTGTGCCATATTTTGGCCTCATTCAATGGATCTTTATGGGTGGGGGGTGTTGCTTGCTGGCAGGCTTCTCCAGTCTCCATTTCTTTCCACAAAAGAGGAGGAGAAAAAGACCGAGTCATTGCATAATGCCTTTTGACTGGTAATGCAAGGAGTCCTCCATCTGGAAGCACCGTAAAACAGGTGGGCGACTCTGCTATTTATTGCCTGGCCAAGCATGTGTCAAGAAGACTTTTGCTGTGGTACTCAGAAGATGAAACGTGCAATGGATCCAACTGCAACTGGTATAAATAGCCACATTACAGGTTTGAAATAATCTTATTAATAAATGCACCAGTAATTTCGATGCTGCAGAGCTCTGTATTTATTGCAGTAAAGAGAAATAAAAATACCAATTTTCCTACTTTTTCTAATTTTAAAGGGATAGAAGATTTTTTAATGTTTTGATCTCATGCTACAGAAACGATATAGCATTCTGTTGTTCAAAATAAGGAGTTGTATCACTACAGGTTTCATTTCACCTTGGGAAAATGCTTTGAGGGCTTTTCTTACTGTTTGCACAGAGGAAGTTTTTTTCTGCAAGTATATTGATATCTAGGATTGGTCAACTCTCTGGCGATACGGAGCAACCTCTGGCTGGGAAGGGAGTGGATGTTTCCTCCTCCTTTGGCCCATGATCCGATGCATCTTCAGACAGAAAGTGCCCTGCACCTCCCAGCATTCCCACTGCTGGCTTTAGGACTGTTGGGAGCTGGAAGCATTTCTGATGTCTAAACATACATCGGATCACGGCTTAATTAAGGAGCAGCATAGAGGTGGTTAATGTTGTGGCTCTTCAGTCCATCAGTCATACCAAGTGCCTTAAGTGTCTTTCTGTGGTTTGAGCTACCGTTTCACCTGAGACTTCCTGAGGGTGACAAATATCAAACACTGAGCAGTGTCAGTTCTATTATTAGCGTGTAGATCAGCTTAAAATTGAGCCAGGTAGGCCACTGGATAGTTTTTTTAATTCTTTTCCTCCTCATAATTTTAAATTACATAGTTCAGAGTGCTTTTTCATTGCGATACAATATGTATCCCGAGTATAATACATAACATTTCCCCCCAAATAAGAGAAGGTAATAAGGTAATTTCATCTCTTAATAAACAGACCCATTTTTGGACTATGCCAAGAGCCATTCCATTAAGGCATGTTTGGATAAGAACTTGACATCGTTAACTTCTCTTCAGGACCATTAAGCAAGGGGATTAATGGACCATATAATGGATATTATTCTCCTACATTCCTTTTAATGTCTGCCATGCACATTCTTAAAGCACTATTCCATGAAAAAGATGTCAGTACTATAAGGATCAGACCATTTTTTCTCATTTTGTTTGCCATTTGCATTATGCTTTCAAACGGCCCATGCGTTGGCACGGTACACTCTCTGTGCCGTGGAAGTTGGTCGTGTGTGACCCTGCTGAACGTTGCTGATCAGGCGGATCAAGACCTGTGTGGTCTTTCTAGCTGTACTGCTCTTCAGATGTTTAGTTAGCAAGAGGAACTCTTGTTCGGTAGCTACTTGCAACTTCTGTGTACCTTTGTATCTTTCTATCAGCATGTCGGGAATGTACTGTATGCTACAAACATTGCCAGGGCTTTGACAGCTGGGCATATCTAAAGCCCAGCCACAAAGCTGACCCAGTGTTGCTTTTACCTTTCCGGATATTTCTCTGGACTGCCTCATGAACAGTAGTAGATCATATGTGTTAAGAGTAGTTAAGCATGTTTTACCCCTACACCTGGCAGAGGAGGCGTATGTTCCCACCAGCATCCCCACGCGTGTGCCCTGTGCTAATGCCCCTGCTACTCCCTGCAGCACGTACTCCTGGCGTGGGAGGACGGGCAAGAAATGCATCCACGTTGCCCATTATAGAGCAGAAGCAGCTGCATGCGAAATTGTGACATGTGCCTGCCGTTGCAGTAATGTGTGAAACAGTCCTCCAAAGGAAGTCTTTGGATATTTTCATGTCCTTATACAAAGGCAAGTTTCTGTTGCTTAAGTAGTAATAAATTGGACTCATTTTAACTGCCTAAACATTCATGCCTTGTTGCTTTGTAAATACTGCATTCTGTCTATAAAACTCTGTGAACTGAATAGCTATTAGATAAAGTAGAGGATGTAACATAGAATCTTTGATAGGAGATCAACATATATTTCTAATTGGCTACTTGTGCTTTTAGGGGCCCGCGTTTTTGCTACTGAGGTAAAATTAAAATATTGCATGGTTAGGTGTCATTAAAAATAAGAGGAGGATTTAGGGGTTATGACTTTAGTGTGCCATGGACAAACTAGCACCCCTTTTTATTGCTACTCTAATAAGCTACAATATACTTTGATCTCATTAAGTTTAGCATTTGGAAATAAAATAATTGAGTCGTAATTCTTTGGTCAGCCCCTCCTCCACCTGTGCTAGAAGGCAGGTTGGATTACAAGGCTTAAAATACTAGTGTCAACTTGATTTTATGCCTTTTGTGAGTTAATGTTAAACTTGCGAACAAGCACACACATTGCAAAGATGGAGACAAATAAGCTGCCTTAATTCAAAGGTGATCTCCACATAATTGTAAGTCCTAGAATATGTTGTAGGGTATTGATTTCCTAATTCCAAAGAGTGCTTATTCTGTAAAATGTACAGTGAAGTTAAGCCTGCAGGCAAACATTTTTTTGAGAATACTTCTCAATATTTCCCCTCAATATTGACAAGTATATATGTCAGTTGTGACACGTAGCCAGAAAACCTTGCTAAATTGTGAGCAGTCCCAGGAATATGACAGGTAACTGAAAATACTTGCTAAATGTGCGTTGAGCACAAGTCACAAAGCTGTGCATCATCTAGTAGTACCACTACATGCTTTGTATGGTGACTTGAAAAATAAGCTGCAAATGGGGCGCCTCAGTTGCTGAGCCACTGCAGAAAACACAGTGACACTTAACATTCTTCGTATTCAGAACAACAGATTTGTGTTCTCCTTCCATCAGATGGTTGGACTAGTCATTTATCCTTCTCACTGGGATGGATAAAGTTGTTTTGATGGGATAGGAAGGTAGCAGGCAATTTGAACGTAACTCTAAACCCACACCTAAGTGCTTTGTGAAAGAGCAAAACCAAGCATTGGGCAGGTGCCTTCCCTTGCCCAGCACAGCTTCAAAGAAACCCCCGCCCTGTTTTAAGCTTAACATAGTTTAATGTTTGAACTGCTGGAGGGAAGGGGACCCTGGCTTGTTAACAAGAGAAGGTGCTAACCACGATTTGATTCTGACCTGTTTCAATAAAACCAGTTTGAAACTAACCAGAGGCACCCCGCCACACACACACACACACACACCACCCCCCCTCCAGTTAAGACATAAAGAGAAACTGGTAAGTTTGAAACAGGAAATGGAGGCTTCTGAACTTGCAATAAGCACTAGGCACAATGCGAGGACAAGGCCTCGGCTTGCTTCTGTGCATTTCCATAGCAACAAACGGTGTGACCACCTTGGAAACAAGCCAGTGTACAGGTGTTATTCCTTAGTGGCAAGTAAGGCTGAGTGGGAGGTAGAAGATGGTAAAACAATCACTGTTTAGGGTCTGATCTACTTTTCAGATAAATATTTTATCTAATTGTAATTATGTGTCTCATGCTGCTCTAAACTATTCTACCTGGACAACAATTCATGAAAGCCAAGGGTTTGTCAGGAAATCGGCTTTTTATTAAACAGACTGCAATTTAATACATCTGTTACAAAGTTTTCAGGATTTGAGAAGCAACTGTTCTTACGTTTGTGTAAAGTTGGTTCATGTAGCAGTGTGTTGATAGAAATTTGATCAACATATTAATCCTGTGTTGACTGCAACAATGACTATGCTCATTTTTATTTGTATTGTGAGTACAGTTTTTTAAAATTTCTAACCTATTTTGGACAAAACTTTCCATAAGACTGATTGACATGTGGAGAGTATTTTTCTGGAATCCGGAAAAAATAAATTTAACTTCAGTGTTGCTTGTTGATACATTCTAAGCAATAGTTAACATGCTGCTGCTTCCCGGCTTGATGTTCGTTCAGTACAAAATCATTACAAAAGGGTTTTTTAAATGTTTTGTAGATGGGGAAGTGTCAAAGTGTAGTGCATTTTTAACATACACATGGATAGGAACTAGTTAGGAAATGTGTCAGTCACATTTTCCCACCAGTTAAAGGGATTTTTCTACTGGTTTTTCAATGTCTAAGGGTGCAATCGAATGCCCTGCACATTTGCTGTCCATGGAGGCTGTGGTGCATCCTGTGCATGGGCAGAGGAGCCATGCGCTCCGCTTTTTCTCTGGACAGCCAGTTCTAGTTATCCAGATGAAGCGTCAGGAAGGGAAAGAGGCTGGGTGCCAAGAGGAACTGCCATTGCCCTCCTGTCGCAGCCTCCTTCCTTCCACACCGTCTCTTCCTCTCCAAGGCCCATTTGTGACTGGAAACAGTTCTTTCCATGTCAGTTGTGAAGTGGGCAGGATGAGAACAACACCCTCAGAGTCCCGACTCCGAGGCTGCAGTAGCTGGGACTCCAAGCAATCCTGTGGTCACCCAGAAGATTTGGGGGGACATCACCTGAACTGTAAACCCTTAAAGCCCAAGTTGTATGTGAACTTTACTTGGTTTCCATGGCCAATTCACAGTCTACAAAAAAACTGCATATGACATTTACCATAACAGCCATTTCAGATAAGTTGCCTTATTCTATTGCAGTGAACTTAATTGTCTCAGCTGTTTACTGTTCTGACAATGACATTGGTGTAAAAATGTATGTTTTGCAAATTTAATTTCATAGTTGCTAAATTATTTAACACACCTTTTGTAAATTGTTTAATTTATTTTCATCCCTGAAGCTGTCCTGCATCATTTTCCAAATGATAGAAGTTATATTGTAATCATTCCCATCAGAACTGTCTAAAAGTTTTTCTTCTATGCTTGCATGAGTAAATGTGAATTTAATTTTGTTGTATGATGAACTTTTTTGTTTTCCTAGTTTTCCTATTGTTCTGTATGAATGAACAGTACTGTTGTCTTCTTTTCTAAATAAATACCAATTTGGTTTTCTCTCCCATACCTTGTGATTCTGTGGACCATCGTGACAAGCTGTATTAAGGTGTCCCAGTGCAAGGAAATCTAAATCGCAATGCAAGTGGATCTGGCTGCTTATACCCCTCCAACATGGAGGATGGCTGGTCTCCTCTCGAGGGCGGAAGAAGCACCAAGGCTCTGTTCCACATCTGTCACCGCAAAAGGCGGCAGCTGATGTGTTTCAAGAGGCAGGCACAACTTTTCAAAGGTTCGTCTTCTGCTCTTGGAGCCCCATGCGGTGCAGTTATTTCCGTTCTGGCCAAGTTGCTTTGAATTTGTGAATTTGGAATTCCAGCTCTGGTCTTGGAGTGCATTTCTGAGATTGGAGCTGGTCATAGGAATGCACCTGTAGTCTAAAGATTTAGATGGGCTTTTAATACTCAAGCAGAAGTGTTCCTAACAGCTGGTGCCTACAATCCTGTCTAGAAGCGAATGATGGATTCACCCTCCGACCCAGGCAGCACAATTATACGTGTGTTTGAAAGATTTAGAATTTACCACAATTCACATTCAGTCGTACAAGCACAACAAAGATAAAAGTCTACAGTTTTGCTTCCTTTGCTGGCAATAGTAAAACTGACTCAGGGCCAGAGTTCACAAGACACACTTGGAACTCATTTTTTGGGGCACACACCTTATTTTCTTAGTTTAAACCTGTTGCTGCTGTTAACGTGCCATCCAATTATCCCTGACCTACGGTGACCCTAGGAATGAGTGGCTTGTAAAATGTCCTGCCCTGCCAGCTCAGCTCAGCTCTTGGGTGCCAAATTCTGTAATGATACGAGTCAAGCTTTTCTACTGCCTGTCTGGGCCATCTGTGATGTCAGTGGGTGGCCCTCTAAGGCTGCACCGCAAATCTTTCACTCAGATCCTGAATCTCATTTATTTATTTATTTATTTAAACATCTCATCCCATGTGGATCTGCCAGCCATGACTGTGTTATTGAGTGACCCACGTACCTGTGGGCCCTTGACCTTTTAAGCAGTGCCCCGGATTCGTCAGAGCTGCCACGATTGCCATCACCCGCTTCAATACAAGTCCACCTCCTGCTCAACTCCATAGCCTTATTAGGAGACCTTAAGATTCACTCCGTTAGCAGACTCAGCAGTGTGGCATGAAGTCATCAGCCTTTTACATTAGGGGTGGACTGCCATCTTCCTCCCAGCGACTGCTCATTATTTTCATTAAGCCCAGAGTCCAGAATTGCAGACCAGCCCCATTGTCACCCAGGCATCCTGAGCATTATCCTCATTGATGCCAATTCTCCAGCAACTCTTCCATTTTTGTTGAAATTCTCAACTTGACTTTCTTATAGTTACTGGTGACCTTTAGCCATTTTACAATGAAATTGGCATTTTTGCCTTTTTGTCAACAGGTGCAAAGTACAGGGGCTCATGCATATTACTTGCAAGGGATTATTCTGGTCCAAAGCTTAATGTGGGCCAAATAATTTATGTCATGGATTCTCAAAGTGTGCACATGATGCCAGTGCCTCTGCTGGGGAGAATTAAAAGAGGAAGAGTAGTGAAAATAGGGAAAGCCAAATTGTGCTCCTTTTCCTATGAAACAAGGCTGTGGAAACCAACATAAAAAACAAATACAAGAAGGATAGTTAGGTGGGCAGTGAAAGGAATTTTTCCTTCTGAAAGACTGTAATGCTAAATTAACAACGTTAAGTAGGTGTTACCATGAAATACAATGATCATAACAGATACTCTGTTATCAGCAATTTTTAAAGGGTCAAGCAGAATTTCTTGGTTCTTGCAAGCAGATTCTAGAAACGGAACGGCACCGGACCCTCAAATGTGGCCCAGCTGGAACTGCAGAGGTATGACTTCGGAACGTGCTTCCTGCGATCATTACTGCAAATAACAGAAACTAATGCATGATGGTATCGGCATGGTTTCACCAGTCAAAAGAAAGCCAAAACAAGATTTCTTGCATTAAGAAAATTAACAGGAGAAGTAGTGGGTAAATCCAGGTGCAATGTAGCAATGAGAGCTACATCACCTGGATCCTCTAAACCTTTGTGAATGAGCCATGAGGGGCATATGGTAGTTGGATTGGGACTTGGGAGATCTGGATTTTAGTCCCCACTCAGCCATTAAACTCGCTGGATCACTTGGGGCCAGTTGCAGATTCTCAGCCTGACCCCTCTCATAGGATGGTGTTGTGAGGGTTAAACGGTGTGGAGGAGGACAGTTTAAGCCAGTTTAGGTTCTGGGCAAGAGGCAAAAAAAGGATAAAATGCAATGTAATATTAATCTAAAGCACCTTAAGTAAGCTACATGTACTTGTTTGTCACCTGCGCAAGCAGAGTTGCCTTGATTGCTTGGTGTGTTGCTGGAACCAGTTCCACTAGCCTCTCAACATCTGAACTTCGGCAACTGAGAGAATTATTTAGTGCAGGTGTGCTAACAGACTGTGCACAGTTGCATAATACATGACCGCACCCGTCAGAACTATGCCTCTCGGAAGCATGGAAAGGAAAAGCAGTGCTGAAAAACAAGCCAGGAATGAGAAAAAAATGGCTTGCTTTCAGCTTTAGCCCAGTGTAAGCCACCCAGTGAACTGGGTTATCGGGAGGCATTTAGACACTATATAGATAACAGAAAGGAGAGAAATCCGCATGGCACAGAGATGCCTTGCATCTAGAACAGTGGAAACAATTCACAGAACTGGGTGAAAGTTGGGAGGTTGACGTCTTTCTTTGCTTGCATGTTCTTTGCCAGTGCAACAAAAACCCCATTCCTGTTATAACAGGCCAATGCCCTATGCAGATAAACAGTGAAAGAGCTGATGGGAGGTCCATGTAGGACAGGATCAATCCTCAGGCAATGTGTGGCGTTTCTTTCAGCGGCTTCTGTAAAAGTCAGAACCAGGCTCACCGTATTGGTTCTTAAGGGGCAAATTGCAAGGTTCATTCCAATGGTGGTTACAACAGAAAAACAGGAGGTACAAAATATGATCCTCGGACTGTGGATTTATGCATGAATTTATGTAAAATACAGTGAACAAGCATTCTCTCCTCCATATACTTTCTTCTGAAATGCAGCACCTGTTGGGATTCCTGCATCTTATTTTTGGTCTGATTGCTTTACACCCTCTTTCCTCTCAACTTAAAAAACACCAGACTTGGGCACCCCATCAAGCCATCAGATGACTCTTTAGTGCTGCAGCACCAGAGCAGAAAGGAAGACAAAGATGGTGCCGGGGCAAATCTTTCCACAGTGGTGCACCTGCTGCTGCAGAAGCCTTCTGCCTTACCTTGCAAGCCTGCAGAACGGACTCCTGAGGAACCCAGGCAGGCCAGAGAATCCAGGAGGCCAAACAATATGCCCCAAGCGTCACCTTCTGTAGCCAATCAGCCAAGCGGGAGCGGAACCACTCCCAGCTCAGACTGTCATCCCAGAAGGTTTCCATGGCTGATGGCACCGAACGCTGCCAAGAGAGCCAGGAGAATCAGCAGGGTCACCACCCCATGGCTCTCTCCCAGCACAGGACAACCAAGCCAGAACCTGGCCTGAACTCTGACTGGAATGGATCCAGGTGATTGCTCTCACCCCAGAGTGCCTGGAGCTGGTTGGCCACCACCCGCCCAAGACCGTTGCCCAGAAAAGAAGCATTTGCTACAGACCTGAAATTATTAAAACCTTCTGGGTCTGGAGAGGGTCTTTTCGGGAGAACTCTCGCCACTGCCTCATTCAGGCAGCAGGGCACCACACCCTCTTGCATGAAGGCATTTATAACTTCCCCGGCCAGGGGGGCTGTTCCCTCCCTGCTGAATTTAGAAGCCCGGAGTGGCAGCAAAGGAATGGTTGCACAAACCTGTCCAAGCGCTATGGATGCTTTTGTTTTCTTTTTGTGCTGTGGTAGCACCTTATGGTGCTTATCCGTGATTTCTATGGGTGGTTTTGTGGAGGTAGATGTGCTCTGTGATTTTATTGTGGTTTGGGCATGGATATCTCCTTTAAAAATATGACAGAAGGACATAGAAACTGAGCAGGTCAGAAGGGTCTCCCAGGCCATCTAGTCTGACCCCTGGCTCTAGCCGGCTCTGCTCATGACTTACCTACCATGTGCATGTCTAACCTATCCTTGAACACCCTCACTGATGGGGCTTCAACCACCTCCCGTGGAAGCCCATTCCACGACCTCGGGGTCCTGACTGTCAGGAAGTGCTTCCTGGCATCCAAATGGAACCGGGGTTCCCTGAGCTTTGCTCCTTTGGAGCGCGTCCTGCCTTCCTCTGCAGGGGAGAACAGGTCTCTACCCACCTCCGTGTGACACCCCCTCACATACCTTTGAGCACCTTCACTGTCACCACCTGCAGTACTAGCAAGCCATTTTCATCACTCATCCTGGTGTCATTCTCTTTCTCCAATGGCCTGCAATGCAGTGCCTGAGTCTGCTGTAACTATTCAAGGATCTTCCAGGATCACCCCTATCTGAGGTGAATTACTGGTCTGATTACCCCTCCTACTCCTCAGTGGCACCATTTCTCTTCTCAGCAGGTGCAGCCACTGGTACACTAGACCCTGCCTCACTGTCTTGCCCCTTTCTCTGATTAGATCCTCCACGTCTCAGTCATTAGGATTTGAGACTCAACAGCCAGAACGGTGAGTGGAAGACCCAGCGTTTGATGCTGTCTACATGGAAACATCAGCACCGGTTTCCAGTCCCTTTCTTGCCACCTTTTCCTGAACCGTTCACCTATGGCTCCAACATTGAGATGCCTAGAAAACACGTGCCGTGCCGAGGAGTTGCTTCCTTTGTTTGCACATCCTCCATGAGATGCGCTTGTCCTTGAGTCTTCGCAGTCAAGGTCCTCTAGGGTACATTCTTCTGTAGACAAAATGGGCAGTAGATCTGACTGATGGGGAGGCATCTTTGTTCATATGACACTTTGGGTCTTCATGTGCCTAATTACCAGGCTGCAATGTCAGGGTGCCAACTTTTTCTCTGAGAAAAAATCGGCTCCTTCTGTGATTATTTACTGGATCAGAGAGATTCTTCAGTTGGAGGGAGCAGATCTTTCTCGGCACCATTCCAAGACTGAGAAGCATCAGAATGACTGTGATGCCAATGGCAGTGTGAGTGCCATTGTTCTAAGTCCACAGAAGGCAGATCCTAGCTCCAGCCCATGGTTTTGGGGGCCTGAACTATGGCATGAAACAAACAGCTAAATCAGATGGAAGCCAGGAAGAGTTGGGAGCAGTGGAACCCAAACTTTTAGCTCAGGCTCCTCCTGTGCCCAGTCTTAAATGACCATTACGGACATTTGCTGCCCATGATCTTTTCTGTGCTGCTTGTAACTCCTGTTTCAGTTGCCAACTTGCAACTCAATACTTTTCCGAAGGCAATCCAATTGCATGCAAAAAACTGCAGCGCATCCATGTCAAGGACTGGATACTCTGGGATGAAAGCTTACCATTTCATTCGACGGAACCTCGGAGCAAAAGTGCACGGGGCTGCACTGTCACTGACCACAGCTTTGCAGACTAGCTGTGCAGGTGACTGCAATCCCAGAGAGAAGCAGGTCCTGCCGAGGTCACTAGGCCTTCAGCCCAGGAAAGTGTGCACAGGCTTCACCGGAAGGGTCAGGCCCTCTGTTTCAAAAGGAATGGCACAGGCTTTCAGGACAATAATGATCTCCTGTGTTGTACTCTAGTATGCCTGGCACCTTGTGATGTTTATCGCGTGGTGGTGGTGGTGGTGCTATTGCACCAAGGAAACACCAAGAGATGCACCAAGGAAAAAATTAGCATTGCTTTAATTGTATCCATAAATAAGAGCATTAAACATCTTCAGATTTTTAGTCACATGACGTTTCAGTGTTCGAACTCAATACAAATATAAGCATTATGTATTTTTTCCAAATTATAAGAATGCTAGCGAACACATTAAACAATGTAAACATTACGTCTCAGTAGTGCTTGAAACATTCTCATTAGAAAAAAGTGCTTTTTGAAAACAGTATTGCCATTTATTACTAATCCAGAGAAAAGAAAAACATTCAGAACAAGTTAGGTATTTTTCTGTAACTATTGGGCTCAGGTGAAGAACTATTATTAACTGAGCTTCACTATGTCTATTACATCCTAAGATTACCTCAAGTACCACAAGAAGCTTATTCAGTCAGTGAGATACACTATATCTTTTAACCTCATCATAAATTAGCACTGTACATCTAGGAACCAAACAATGGCTCTCTCCTGTGGCATCTGGTATGTTTTTAAAGTCAAAGAACAGCATTTTGTGCAAAACAGCCATTTAAGAACAATCGGCAGCAAAATTCCTGTTAAACCGAGTATGCTGACAAGTTTCCAAAGTCGACTGTATTTGATTTGGCTTAGTTATCTATTTACAAAACCGACAGAACAATTATACATACCAGGACAAGGAACCTTTCCTCCCCCGCCCCCCCCCCACCCCCCGCTCAAGGGCCAGATTCCCTTGAGGGGCAGATCCATCACTGGCCAGGTCCAAAGCCAAATGTATACACCAACATTCAGTCCCTGGTGCCCCCTCAGCTATTTTTCAGCCATCAGAGGAACAGCAGGGTGGTTTAAACCTCATCTCTCCATCCCACTGCTCAGACGATCACTAGAAATCAGTTTAGAAATGAGGGAAGGGGGAATCCACAGCCCACTGAACCCCATGCTTCAGCTGTTTTCTTGCCACTCAGCTGAGAAGCGGGGCAGTGGAGACTGCTGGGAGGGGAGGCTGACCGCCCCCTCCTCCCACGCAGGCGGAGGAGCTGGCAGCCCAGAGAGGGAACCCTCCACCCCTGCTAGATGCATTTGCTGAAAAGTACCACTTCAAAACATTCCTTTAGAGAAGGGCTGGAGAGAGAGTTTATTTCATCAATTCTGGAACAACTAATCGATGCTCATCACAACATTAGTATGGCAGCCTTTGTATTTTAGCAATTATTTTCAACTGCCCTTACACACAAAGTTGATAAAAGCTGGTTTCTCTGAGACTCTATTCCCAAACTGATTCAGAGTCTATATTCCATTATTTTTCATATAAAGCTTAATCCATTAGAAAGTACCAAAACCTTTAAAAGCCACTCCCTTTTATAATATGTACCTTCACTCATAGATGCAAAAGAAACTTTGAGTATGCCCTATGTCAACAGGAAAAACTTGCATATAGTTCTAAAAATTAGTGAGTAAAAATTGTAATATTTACATTCGTATTCCCTGTACATCAATTTAATTTACCATCTTACATGTGTTTTGGAACTTCAACAATATTCATAATATACACTAGTTATGTGCCATCAAGTCATCCCCAAGTTACAGCAACCCTATGAATGAATGCCATCTAAATGTCCTATTTTTGACAGCCCAGCTCAGGTAAGCTCTATCTCAAAGTTGGTCTGCCTGTTGTTGTCTTCTCAGGTGAGTCCTACCTTCTCATGATGTGGCAGCTTCAGTTTTGCCACTTCTGCTTTGGCTTGATTTGTTCTAGGACCCACTTGTGTGTCTTTCTGCTAGGCAAGGATAATCCTAAATTTCTCCTCCCTCACCATGTTTCAAGCTCATCGATTTTCTTCCTACCAGCTTTCACAGCCATACATAGTGAAATACGTAGTAATACCACTTTATATCATGTCAACATTAATATAATCAAAATCAGATGTTACCAAATTCAATCTTGGTAAGCGCAGTGCAGAAGTCTGTTCACTCCACAAGTCCTCATGAATTTAGTTGAACTTTTTTAGCATCGCGCACAGATTCCATGGAACTTAAATGGTACTTTTTCTGTGCACTTTAGTTATATGGCCAGTTTGAACTTTTACTGACATAATATCCACTGTGTCTTTTGAAACAGATCAAAAAGCATTGATAAAATCCCAGATTTTCAGCTGTAAAATACAAAAGCAAAAAGATAAGTAATGTTTCATGTACCGTTATGGGGAGGAAAGAAAGATCCCTTCCTTGCCATTTTGGTACGTTGAATAAAAGGTTCTAATGCTCAGGAACACTAAAGTATATGGGTAAGATAAACCCCCATTCTCAGTGAAGCTTAATCAGTTATTGAGAATTATATAGAATTATGTTGATAACCCAAATCCTCACACTCAAACTGGATTGCGGCTCTCCTCCTAGAGATGTACTTTGGAATGGCAGAAATGCTGCAGTTCCACACACGTTACTTCCTTTTCTTAGGCTGGCAGCATCCTGGCGCTCCTCCTCAAAATACTTTTGCTCTGGGGTTTAAAACATTCTTTTATCCGCTGGAAGAACTTGTTATATCCGTTAATCAACAAAGGTGCTCCTTTAGTCAACAAAGAAATAGACCACTGTAAGGTAAGCAGGGCTGTTAGCACTTTCATGCTCTGACCACAGAAGAACAGCCATGCCCAGATATTAGATCCGTATTAACCAAGTAGCATCTGAAAATGTTGGAGAAGGCAGTAAGAAGCACCCACTGATTTTCCTTGTGGGACTGTAAGTATGGGCAACTTAAAAATCCTTTGCTATTAGTGTATACTAATTCTATGAGAACTGGGGATATTCCTTGTCTCTTGGTTTAAATATTAAACAATTAGAGTTGCCTGAACATTATACAATAATTCACAAATTCTACTTTGTTAACTGACGTTCCTCATGTTCTCTACCCATCATTTCCACCTTTCCGGTTCACCAGCTGCGAGCTCCTTGCCAATAAGCCCTAAACTGTGCAAGTTGAGAAGAGAGTCCGCAATAATCCGCGCTGTCCTTTTCTGGTAGCCGCCCGATGTCACCATCAGAATAGGAATGCCGTGTTTTCGGGCAGCTCTAAACACAATTTCATCCCTTTCAATAATGCCCTGCATATTTTGAAAACAAAAAGGAGAGCTAATATGAATATTGAGCTGCTTTGTGTACTATATAAGCATTACAGTTTCATCATACTGCATGTGAAGAAAAGAAAAACACATCTCATGAGCTCACTGAAGCAAAAACAAACACTAAGTACCTAAATAAAACACCTACATGTTATCCATTAACTTTTTATGATGTGCTACAGTAAGGAAACAATCCTATAGCCACCGTTGGATTCTCTGTATTCCCAGATCCAAGGTCAGAGATCGTGCTCTGACCCCGGGGGGAGGGGGGAGCGAGCCTGCAAATCTGTCCCCTTCCCTTCACAGTCGGCCAAAAAGAGCTGTGCTGGCTGCCTCCCCAAGCTTGGAAAAACAAGCTTGGAGAAAAGGGGGCGTTCCAGGAGCAGGAAGATGATAGGATGCAAGCTATCCTTGGGCCTTCCCAGCCTCCCTCCCTCCCCATGTTTTCACTAGGCTGACATAAAAGCCCATCTAGCAAAAAGGCAGGGATGGGAGGTGCTGCTCTTCCCACCTCGCACAGGATGAGCTCGAGTCTCCAAGTCTGAGGGCTCGCAATCTTCCGGACAGCTCGGCACCTTACGCAACCACAGCTGGGATCTAGAATCTGTTTACTGTGGAGCTCTTCCACGCAAATCAATGAAGCAGCATTACCACAAAAAGGGTGTTGGGACGGGCACTGCCGCATGAGGTGGAATAATTAAAATCACACCAACACCATCCAGAACCATATATATTTTACTTAAAAGCATGATTCAACCAAAATGCTTTTTGACTGGGTTGAACAGGGTATCCACTGCTGGGCCTTCTTTCCAAAAGAAGTCTCCTTGAAGTCTACACTTCCCAGAAGTCTACTTTGGACTACCTGTGCCTTTAGTAAGCACATGAGCAATTGATGTGCTCTGCCCTGTATTTAAATAGGTGCTGGAAGAGGAGCAAACTAAGGACCACAGGGCAGGTGGCTGTGGTTCCCCCTGTATCACTAACATTCGATTAAGAAAGGCTTCAGGAAACATCAGGAGAAACATGTATATAAGTGCTTGTTAAGTGCTGCTCTGATCGTAGGGAAGGCGCAAGGGAATCCCAATTTCTGAAAAAGATCAGAATGAAAGGCAAGAAGTAGAGCAAGACTGCTGGGCTTGACATGCGGTATTTGGTTCAAGGAAAACCAAAGCACAGGCTTGCCGGGACCGAAAACAAGGAAAATAAAGCATTTCAAGAAAAGCTGAAATCCAGTTCAAGAGATAAAATAGGATTGTGCAAATATAACTGAATGAATAGTGTGTTGCCAATCCTTGGTGAATTGAGCAAACTTCAGAACTGTATTTTTATTTAGAGAAAAATGTACACTCAGTGCTATACAAACCTGAGGTGAAATAGCCAGGCCTCCTAAGGGGTCACCATCTAGAATATCTGTTCCAGCGTTATAAATAATTATGTCTGATTTCACTTCATTCAATGCTCCTTCCACATGTGTCCTAACTTTTTGGAGATATTCTGCATCTTCTGTGCCCCAGTCCAATTCAACTTTCCGTCTTATAGCACCTAAAGTTAGTAGAAGAATCATGTACAGTGAGAAGATGGAGGGGAGCAGTAAAGGCAAGAAATAGTTTCTGACTTTTAGGCTCCAATGCTATGCCCATATAGCTAGGAGGAAGCTCCAATGAACTCGATTGGGGTTATGTCTGAGTAGACATGTACTGGATTGTTCTGACAGTCATATTTACATCTAAAGTTTTAAATTATTCCAGCAAACATGTGCTAAAAAACATTTCTTAAATTCAGTGAACTGTATCGGACACTGGCCCAGTTTGCATGATCACCGCATCTCACAATGGCTTATTGAGGGTCATGGGGCATTTTGAATATTCGAGGGACAACAATAGGGTCTTGTGGCTTTATTGTGATGGCCAAACCCAACCGAGGTGGGTTATCAGGGTGGTTCACAAAGTGCCAACATCCGAAAACAGCACAAGGCACCACTGGCTGCAGTTATCATATGAATCAGGCCACTGGAACTCTGCATGAAGGTCTGCGGTATCATTTAGTAAAAGATGGCGATATAAATGGCATGCATGACAAGAATATTTCTCTTTTTCATTCAAAGTATCTTCTGCCCTCCCTTCAAGGAACTCCATTTTATAATCAGAACAATCCTGTATTGTTCTGGGCTATGAGACCGTGACTGGCCCAAAGTTATCCAAAAGAAACTACAGGAATCACCCAGTAAAGGTCATACAAGGACAGTAATACTTCTGTAAATAGATAAAGATAAATGATAAACTCCTATGGCTAAAGTCTGCCAACCAGAATGTTAGCCTTGGCATATGTTATCAATAATAAAAACCCATCAATCTTTACATTGTATATGATTTCAACTGTCATCCAGCTTTATATGTAAATGCTAAGCCTGTTTCATTCTTTGCAGCGCTTTGTTTCATTTGATGTTTTTCCAATGAATTCTGAATATATTTTGCTGCAAAATCCTCTGCATGTCTGCACAGAAGCCCCACTGAACTCAGTGGACTTGCAAGTAAATGAGCGGGCATGCCAGTGAACCCTTGCACCAGAGCAGACAGCCCGGCGCCCCCCAGATGTTTTGAATTGCACTTCTTATCCGTTCCAGGGAGTATGGAAGGGCAGTCCAAGACATCTGGAGGTGCTGGCCCCTATCTTTTAGACCACGGATCCTCAACCTACGGCCCGCGGGCTGGATCTGGTCCGACGTGCCCATTTATCTGGCCCACCTGAGGTTATGGACTCGCCTCGCACGCACCCGCCGTCACCTCTCTGCGCATGCGGGGACGCAGCGGCTTGCTCGCTCAGAGATCGTTTTCTCCGAGTGAGTCCAAAACGATCTCCGCGCAAGCAAGCCGCCGCCCCCCCGCCCCGCTTCCTCTTGCCACGTGCGCCCGCTCTCGCCGCACCCGTGCACCCCACCCCGGCCTCACTGCGTGCACATCTGCCGGCATCGCCTCGCTGGCCCACGCCCACCACCGGCACCCTTCAACTGGCCCCCTGCTGAAAAAAGTTGGAGGACCCCTGTTTTAGACAACGATAGTGAAAATGGCCAGATACGAACAAAAAAGAAATTATAAGCAGAAATTGATAATATGCTAAGCGATGTTGCTCACGGCTGAGCAGCCAGGGCATGTATTAATAGCTTCCAATTTCCTTTCAGCATTCTAGCCAGGCCAGAACCTCCCTTATAGATCCTCCCAGTTTTTAGAAGTAGGTGGATAGGAAGCAAAACAAGCCCCAGGTGAAAGGAAAGCAATACCTGGGCAGACTACAAGGAAGGTCCACGGAATGACCAGCTGACCATGGATCAAGCTTGAAGATGAAGTGACGAGGCTGCTGCTCCGCATCAACTATCCAAAGTGCTCAGAGCCCAGCTGGGTGAGCGCACATGCGCCTCAGGCCGTCCGATTCTGCAAGACTCCTGCCAGCCGTCTAGCAGGTGGTACCAGCAGCGGCCTGGCTGGCAGCTCCCTGTGCCTGCAGCAAGCTGCCTTGGAGCAGAGAGCCACACTAGGGCTGTCCCCACCAGGTACAGCAAAAAGCCCCCCACCGTCCTTGTAGGTGCTGTGGAGGTGCTTCTGGAACGTACAGTTCTGAGGGGACGTCATGTGCAGGAGGGCCAGGATCTGTTCTTCCCTGCAGTGGAGGGCAGGGGGCGTTCCAGTGGGGCAAAGCTCAAGGAACCAGGCTTCAGGTTGGATGTCAGGAAGTACTTCCTGACGGTTAGGCCCCCTAGCATATGGAATGGGCTTCGAAGGGAGGTGGCTGGGGCCCCATAAGTGAAGGTGTTCAAGGAAAGACTGGGCAACCACATGTTGGGGATTGCATGAGCAGAGCCGGCTGGAGCCAGGGTCAGACTAGATGGCCCAGGAGGCCTCTTCTGCTTTGCTTTGCTTCCATGTTTCGGTGTTTCTAAGGTGGTCCAAGGCTTGCCCTTTTTGCTGGCAACAGCTGCAAAATGCACGTCCCACTACAAAGCAGCCTGCCACACAGTTTAACAGGGCTGCAACTGCCTCTGGGAGAAAGCATGGGATGGTGTCCCCGTCACTCCCAGGAACGTCGTACAGGGTGGGAGGAAAAGGCCGTTATTCCCAGATGCATGTGAAGCCCTATTTTGCACATGTGTGGTGGGTGTGGTGGCAGGTGGATTTCTGGTCATTTGATGTGGTTATTATCCAGCAAAAAAGGGGAAAATTAAATGCCGTCCTCTAGCCGTCCTGCAAGTACACGATCAAAGGGGCCTCTGCCTCAAACCTTTGCCCCAGACATCAAATGCCCACAAAGTTCTGTCCTCCTTCAAAGGGAAGAAAGCTCCAAAGGAGGCAGGGTGGGGGACCTTCGAACAGTCCTAAGGTAGGTGTCCGAATTCTGCTTCTAGAGCTTCTGGCTCAAGGCCCCTCACACCTTCCCATTACCTCCGCACAGTGGTTTCCTGGGACGCCACAAATTGGGAATGTATAAAACAGCTGAATAATGCAATGGGGGAAAACCCACCCCTGCAGTTCATTTACCCTGAAGTAATATTTCAATTATGAACGTGCTATTTGTCTTACATTTTATTTTGACTTAAGGGTCTATTATTTTTGAAAATACAATCTACTTACGTTTAGCGAATCCATCTCCTGGATAAATATACCTGTTATAAACATCCATAATATACACTCTTCTGTCCTCCATGAAGTCTCTTTCATGGCCATTTCCCTATATGATTATTACAACCAATTAATATAAATCATTCCAGATTAATAATCATCATACGCTACTAAAATTCCTTTTAATTTTATACCACCACAAAGCAGCTTACTAAAATTTAAAATGTACACCCCACAAATATGCACACAGTGCCCAATGTCGCCTATGAGAAGTCACTCTATCTCCAGAGTTATTTTTCTGCTTCACTTGCACAAGGCAGCGAACACGATAATTGAAATACCTTTTCTTGATACTTTCACAAGCTACAGCTTTTGTCTGCTTTCATCACACCACTCTTTCGTAGCACAACGGGTGATACACTATAGTGTTGCATTGCCCACCCGCACTTCCACAAAACATCACAGAGCAGTGCTAGTTTATAGCCAGGGTCCATACAGTTCGGTTAGTTTGCCCTTAGACAAGCGATGCTGCCCTGCTTTGAATGACATGACAAGTTGTGCCCAGGCTGGTAAGTGGGGAAATGGTGCCTGGCGAAAGCTGCCGTGATCATGTGAGCGAGGCATTTTCTCCTTCTACTAACAGTGTTTTGGATCCAAACCAATATTCGTAACACTTTCATAATATAATATATGCTCATATAAAATTGGGCTGCGATCCTATGATCTCTGGTAGAGTGTCCCAGAACCCATAAGATTTGTCCAAAGAGAAGTCTGTCCCCAAAGAGAAAGGGTTCTGGGACCTTCTGAGGACGTGGAAAGCTCCACAGCCAGTGTTCTGACAATGAAAAGGACAAGAGAGAATGGGGGGGGGGGGGTTCTGAGGAGGCTGTGAATCTACAGGAATTAAAGTCGTCTCATTCCACTAACTCCCCCCTCCCCAGCAGCCTTGCAGGTAACAGAGTTTAACTTCTTCCTGCTGGAATTCCTTGACATTAAAACATTAAAGACAGAAAGACCCCCACAACAGCAGAAAAGTAACCAGCCCTACTTTTGCACGCACACAAAGGGAGGTATCCAATGGTGCACTAGCACTAAAGAAGTTGTGCTAGCAGAAACCAATACTTGCACAAGGCAAGGGGTGAAAAGTGCATATTTGCCATTTCTCTAGCAAATGCACATTATGCTGTGCAAGTGCTGCCTTACACTAGCACAACATAATAATAATAATAACATAGAAATGTAATAATAATAACAACAACAACAACAACAACAACATCATTAGCACAAGTGCTCAGACACGGCTGGGGAATTGCTACCTTCTGCTCTGCTGGCATGAACCTGATGGCACAGAAGAAAAGGCAGTTCCTCAGCCTCATTCTTCCTGTCCTGCATCAGTATTATTCTAATACCATTTTTAAATGCCTGTGTACATTTTAAGATTTTCCAAAAGTGTTAAGTATCATGTATGAAGTTTCCTGTGCATTTTGTTTAGACACACACGTGTATATATCACACCCACATTTAGCTATCTATCTATAGACAGAGAAAGACAGACAGAGAGAGGTTATTAGTTTTCTTTCTGGCATAGCTCTACAACGACATAACTCAGAACTTCTGTTTTTAATTAAACTCAATCTGATCACTCACCTGGTGTGCATCCAGATCTATAATAGTTGCCTTAGAAACACCTTCTATTCTTTCAAATAAAAACTAGAATACAGAAAAAGGAAATTAAGAAAAAACAGTTGGGAAAGAGGGTGAGTCATTTGCTCCATCATGGAATAATTACAATAAATATGTGTGCAGTATTTTAACATATAAAGCACCTCTAGTGTGGCGCAGTGGCGCACGGGTATCTAAGATGGGAGCACCCTGACTAGGGTTGAAGGAGGTGGATGGCGCTCTCAGCTTGACGGAGAAGGATCAGAGGCAAAGGCCAAGTCAGGTATGAGCAAGAGGCAGGTGCCAACCGAGTATGGCGGCACCAGAGGCAAAGTCAGAGTCAGAGAGGGTCAGATGCATGGCAGAACCAGTGACAAAGGCAAGCTCCGAAACAAACAGGAGTCAAGCCACAGATGACAAAGTTGCAGGACCGGAAGTGGAAGCCAAGTAAGAGCACAACGCAGGCACCACCATGACGTGTGGCTGCGGCAAAACTAGGCAGAGCTGAGCCTTCTGTATCTCCTGCTGTCGCTTCCAGCCAATTCCTATGCTTGCGGCACTTACGCGTCTGATACCAGCCACGCAAATACTTGCACGGTGAGCCAGGATGTCCTGCGCTAACAAGTCATCGGGGGAGCCGTGTGGCTCTAAGGATCTTGACAAGACCGCCTGGATTACCCCTGCTGAATCCTTTCAGGAGTGCTCCCCTGCCTCTGGCCACTCTGTTTTCACATAAAACATTATGTGAAGGATTAAGAACAAGTTTAGAGTACTGGGCTATGTTATTTGTACAAAAAATCTATATCTTGGTCTATGATGGACTTTCCTCACCTTTATGGCCAACGAGATATCAGCATATGCACAAAATCCTCCACCTTTTTCACTTGAACAATGATGAAAGCCACCACCTTGAAAAAGAAATGGTACATTTGAAAAATGTATTTAACTAAAGTCCCATGTGTTACGGAAAATAGGCTTTCCAGTATTAATAGAAACAGCACTAACCAGGCTGCCTCATTTTGTCAGGCTCCATTAGCGAGCAGCAACGAAATCATTAGAGAACAGGCTTGGTTATTCGTACTGGGGCATCTTCCCCAGCTTGGCCCCTCTGCTTGAGTTGAACTACTGTCTGTGGAAGATGTGAGTTGAAATCCAACAAATCTGGAGGGGGCCAGGGTGAGGAAGGCACCAGTAGAGACGGGAACTAGTTGCACCAAAGGCTTCATGTAACAGTTAGGCTTTCAGGAAGGATTTGAAGGATGGAAGAGGGATGCATGGGAGAAGGAGAGGCGTGGTTTGAGGCAGCAGAGGAATATCAGACAGTGGAGAGTGGTGGGAATGGAAAAACAAAGGTCACACAGAAGATGCATAAAGATATAAGATTGGGAAGATAAAGGTGGGAGGCAAAGCTGTGGAGGACTTTGAAGGCAAGGACAAGAAGCTTGGGCTCGATCCGGGAGCAGGTGTGAAGGCACTGGAAAGGTACAAGGATGGGTCCCATGTAAGGAGAGACCTGAATGATTTTGGCAGCTCAGTGCGGGACTGACATGGGGAAAACAAGGTGACATGATAGAAGACCAGAGAGGAGAAGGCTGGCGGAGTCCCTAAGAAAGAGACGGCCAGGGCATGGACTGGAATGTTGGCTGAGGGGATAAGGATGGATGCATATATATTGTATGTTCGAGTAGATAGATTGCTACTTACCAATATTGATTGCCCATCCTCTCTCAATGGCCAGTTTCCCTGCCTTAAAAAAAACCCAAGTAAGCGGTTTTTTAGTATTAATGCTACAGTGGTTATGTGTTCTACAGTGCAGGGGACAGTGCTCCAAATATGGTTTAGTTCAGGTCCCTTCCATAAGAGGGGAGAACTGTGGGAGCCTTGAAATTGTCCATCAACTGCTAGCATCTGGTCTCCAGACTGAGACAAGCACATGGAGCACCTGGTCTTTAGCACTAGGATGAAATAGCTATATTTCTATTTAAATTCTGCTGCTTATTCACAAATTTAGATTTATACATAAAAATAGCACATGCAAATTTTATGTAAATCAGCATACTCTTTCATCATCATTTAATTGTATATATTTATCCCCACATTTCCACTTTTAAATGGTTCACTCACTCTACACCATGGAAAACATTCAACACAAATTGTCTGGCCTGCTATAAAACAGCTTCTTATGTTCCAGAGTCGGTATTTACTTAGTATTTACTAAGGCCGGTGGTTTTTTTTCCCCTAGTGCAACTGATGCAAACAGGATTGACTGCCCTTTTAAAAAATGTTTCATTTAAAGGAAACTAATGAGGAAGAAAATAATGGAAACAGTTTCCTTACCATGATTGTTCCTCCAGTTTGTGTCCTTAGGGGCTTCAACACTTTCCTCTGAACAAGGAAGTTGGGCATAAAAAGAACAGGTGGGATTTCTGTAATTGTAGCCACAACAAATGACCACTGGAAGGGGGAAAAATGCTATTAAGGATTAGTTCCTCTCAGCAGAATCCTATGCGTAAAATTTTGACTCCTATTCAAAAGTAAGTCCCACTGAGTTCAGTGGTGCTTACGCCAAAGGAAATGTGTACAGGACTACAGCCTAAGTAAGTCATCCATTTACAGTGCAACCTTATATGTTTACTCAGAAGTAAGTCCCTCTAATTGTTTCGGATTTGCATCTATTCATATAATAACTATATGCAAAGCTAAAACATATAAATTAAATACATATAAATTACAAAAAGCACCAATAGCACTTTAGGAAAATGTTGGTGAGCAAACAAGAGGAAAAGATTAAGGGTTGTATCCAATGGTAATGTATGAGCAGGTCGCAACTCATGCAATGGCTCTTCCTCTTGCATTCCTTGCCCCTACAGCCCATCGTTTATATCCAAGGGCAGTCTAAGGTTGAGTCCCATTAATTTCAATTGGCTTATTCTAAGTTAAATCAGGTGTGTCCCCCCCCCGCCCCCAATCCTGAACAGCAGGGACTGACTTAGCACAAGCTCCCTCTACCTAATTTCAGATACTTCCCCAATTCTCCTGCAGCTTCCACTGTTCAGGATCCCCCCGAGCCCTCCCCTCCAGAGACCATATAAGGTGTTGGGTGAATGGCCTGGGCCCCCCACGCACACGCCTCACCCCATCCCACAAGCTCTACTGTGGATCATGGGGGTAGTGATGCTGAGCTTTAACACTAAGATGAGGCTTGCTTCAAACTGAGCCCCATCTCAGCAGTGCTGCTGAAGGACACCGAGCTGGGGAGCAGCAGGCGTTCGCTTTTTCACCGACACAGTGAAAAAGAGAACAAGCGGCTCCATGGGGATGACGACGTCTCGGACACGCTCTTTTCCTGCACTATTGCGCCAATGGAGGTGAGGTCACAGCCTGCTTCCTGGGGCCACTGTGCTGCTGAGGATCTCCGCTTCCCCCTCGCCCCCATTACAGCTATTCTCCGGGGGTGGGGGGAGGCATCCTCCCTCTGCCCTGTAGCACTGGGCTGCTATCAGTCCGTCTAGCAGACCGATATTCCAGGGTCCTGTTTTCAGCATCAGGGTGGCACGGGCAGGGAAGAATCATGCAGTGCATGAAAGCCATGTTTCCCACCCCGCTCTGGAGCTAAATTGGATACAACCCACAGTGAGAATGGGTGCTTCCAGATAAGGTTGTATGGTACTGTCACTCTACCTCATTTGTAAAGTTTTAAGCGGGGGTGCACAGATGATGGAAGCTTCCACTCACAACCCTCCCATGTCTGCCCACCACTTCATTCTTTTCCCTTACCACGGAGAATCCGCTAAAGAAAAAAAGGCGGAAATGCTGCACGATGCCTTCCAACAGGTCAGCACTAGGAACCCTCTGTCTGGAAGCACCCTCAGTTCATTCATCATCTTTCATTCAGGTCATTGGTCTCAGAAAGAAAACCATTTTTGTTGCTCTTCTATATTAATTTTGGGTTCTTATGCTGAACCATCATCCAAGAATATAAAAAAATAATTTAGGTAACATCAAAAAACAGAAGAACATTAACTACAAAGGCAAAAGTACAGAGCAACAATGGGTAATGATAATGATTTCAGTGCTGGATGTAGCTAATGCAGCAAAACAGCACAATTAAAATGACAATACAACAAATAACTAAGCTGTATTTTATATTCATGGCACTTCCAAGTGTATAGCAAAAGCGCAAAATGATTTCTAGAATACCTCTTCAAAGCTTTCCAGTATATGCTTCTGTAAGCAGTACGAAAAAAGTTGAAGAAAATATATTCAAACATCTTGAATAACGTGTAGCCATAACTAATCTCCAAGCACTGTTGTTCCTGATAGCTTTTGTGATGTGAATCTGAACACTGAACAGGTTTCTGGCAAACCGTGCACTACGGAAATGTTTGAATTTACATGTTAAACTACAATTTACCAAGATTTTAAAAAGGAAATCAATTTAAATGGCAAATTACCACTATTCTGATTTGCTCCACTACAGAAATGTAAGCTTTATTATTTGGTATTATAATTACTATGTTGAAAATTTCTGCTCTACCCTTACTTTCAGAAACTTGTACCAGAATTTCACCAAGTTACCTGTTGTCTGTTCCTAGAAGGAGATAACCAATGGCATACACTGGGAAACTCAAGGTAGGAATTATGGGGAAAATAGTATTTTGATATCCTAGCACTAAGTGCAACACTAAGACCAGAGTTAGAAGTGGCTTTCTTCTGCTATGTTGTATAATAGGAAAACCAGGCTTCCCTCCTGGATAAGATGTCTGATAATGATCCTGAGCAGCCACTCTCCCATATTTAAGCCAGAGCAGCCAGCAGTAGACTTTGCAGGAAGCAGTGTCCTGCTGATCGAGAAAACTGTGAACTTAAGCAGTTTTTTTTCTGTGCATTGCAATCAGGGCTGATTGAACTATTTGTGGTAGTGTTCATGAACTGATTCGGAACAAGGAGCTATGGTGTAATCAGTTATCTGTGGATCTTTATTGGGAATGTAAAGGTTTACAGTCTTTACAGCCTTGAGACTGGGATTACTGCAATAAAAAGCTTTATTGAGATCTTTGCCTTCCCTGAGATGTCAGGTCCCTACACCGAGGACATGGTCACTTGAATCTCACTGTTGTTCTGCACTTCCACACGCGTCTTGAAATATCAAGGCATGTGTCTTTTCTTTTCAGCAGCCTGGCACAAAGTACTACACCATTTCCCAGGGTTGCTTAATTTATAGACGGATTCCGTAACAAAGTTCTATTTCTAATATGCCCTTCAATATTTGCACATATCCATCCTCTCTATAACTCTAACACTGTGGACATTTTCAAATGAGGCTTTCAGGGTATTTCCATGCTCTCTCACCACCTTTTCCCCCTTACTGAAGGAAATTTGTTAGGGGAAAAAGTTGGTATTGCTGCACAGCACCTTCTGATTAGTAGCGCTAAGATTTTTCAGTCTGGAAGCACCCTTTGGGTTGGTTCCAGAGATTTTCTTCCATCGGCAGAAAGCTTTTTCCACATGCAAAAAGGATTTTTCTGATATAGTGCAAGTTCCTTGTGCAAGATCAGAAGACTTCCATTTCCCCAGCCAGTTACACAGTCTCTTGAACAAGGCCTTAAACACTGTCACACAATATCTTCATTTAGCTTTTGCAGACCAGTTTACAGAACAGTGCCACTGCTATTTTTTCTGCTTGCACATCTCCAGATCCACCTCCATGTCTCTAACCCAAGGTTTTAAAAAATGGCTTCACGAAGACTAAGGGCTCTAAAACAAGAATGGAAGTTACTTTTGTTCTAGATTCTGAAGGCTAGATGATACTTAAGCTCACTTAAATTTGTTGAGGATTCTTTATCTGTGTATTTCTTTGTGACTAAGGGAGTGAATGAGAGAAAGGCATGTTGTAGGAAAAAAATAACTAAAACATTTGACTGAGACACAAACCATACCTTTAATCGATTCAAATAGTGTCTTGTGTGAACAACCAAAAGGTCTTCTTCAGTTGCTTCTCGGGCTTGTACAATCACATCATCTGCAATTAGTTTTGCTTCTGAATTGGAAAATAAAATCAAATGGCAATCAATAACGTGCAAGTAAGACCAGTCAGTACTTCCTTTCTACAAAAAACAGCACAAAGATTTTTCATTTCACAAACACGTTTTTTTGCTCTTCTTCGAATGCAATTGGGTCCTACACAGATTAACACTCTGGGTGGTACCCAGTTGACTCTTTCCATCAGCAGAATGACTTCAGTCAGTGGAATGGGGGTGGAGGGGACAGAGATTTCCTTCCTCTTGTCCACTGTTGTTGCCTGAAATCTGCTCCAGCTGAGAGAGCGGTAGGACTTTTTTCTGTCTAAACATGCCCCGGATGGCATCTTAAATAAAAGAAAAAGGCAACATCCGAGGAACAATAATCAGAGCAGTGGCAGGGAACCTTTGGTCTACATGGCTGATTTGACCTGCAGAGGTTCCCATCTAGCTCATGGAATCTACCAAGTGCTACTTCTGACTTAAGACTGAGGTAACAGGGACTGCACCCCTGCCCACTGCTCCTCCTCCCACCAACTGGGAGGATGCAGTGCAGACAAAGCATCCCTAAGTATCACCAGGGTCCAGGGTCTCAGCCCCACAGGGACAGGGCAGCTTTGCCTGTGCTGCCTCTCCCACTGAATCCTGACCACAAAAGAGTTTCCCACCTTGAGCTAAGACTATGGGATAGTAAGTGAGCCTTTAAGTTCTACTGGGTTTTTTTTTTTACATTGTTAACCCAGTATTGCAATAACTTGAAAATAACCATAACTTACATTTCTGATTTCTGATCAATAGTTAGCTTACCTGAAAATTAGCCTAGACATAGATTATAGTTTTTCATAGACTTGAAGGCATTACAACATAGCCATTGTTGCCTAAAGCTGTGTACCTTAATTGTTTTGTTTTGTTTGTTTCACTATGGTTCCTGACCAAACATATTCTGCCTACTTCTGGAACATGTTCAACTATCTGCAAATGTTTAACAAATTGCAAGACAAGTCAGGCTAGGCAGTTGGTTTCTGGAATTTTCAATAAACCATGGTTAAAATAGACTATGATTAAACATAGTCTATTCAAACGTAGCCATCAACATGCCAAGAGCCACAAAATATGTCTGGCTAGAAAATGTTTAAATACCATCCCTCACATTTAAACCTACTCTTTAACTACTCCCTCATAAAAAATGAAGTGTAGTTAATTTAGTGATATGAGTTTTCTGGAAATTTTTGAATGAGGTTAATTTGCATAGCAAAATGTCCTGATGTCCTAGAACAGCCTCCTGCAACCTGGTACCTACAACTCCTGCATTCTTATGCCGGTGAGAGCTGAAGGGAAGGCAATGGGTTAGGGAACTGATATAATTTAGTATGGATTTAGTAAACAACAAAGCTTTAAAAATTACACAAATCTTTTGTTCCAAAATGTTACAGGTATATGACCTGTAATATTTGAAGGAGGAAATTAACACACACTTAAGGTGCATTCTTTTTGTGATGATCTAGTTCCCAGAACTCAGAGGCTGATGCTCATCCTATGCACAATGGGAGGAGTAACAGAGATGATCTTCACCTCCCCATTCTGCATTTTTTTTTCAGATGGGCTCTTTTTGCCTGTCTAGCAATAGCATTTCAGAGAAGGAAGGAAAGATGCTGAGGAGGCCTCAGGGTAACTTATATCTTGGCCTCTCCAATCTCTTTCCCTCCTACCAGAACACCTACTTTTACCCCCTGAGGCTTCTTTCTCAACCTCAGAAAGCAGTCAGCATGGTTCTTTCCCTATCAGCTGTAAGGCGTGAGGGAGTCACTCCAAAGTCAGAACAGTGTCTGTGAACTCAGATCTTGGCACCCTCAGATGCTGTCTACAGACCAAGGATCGTTTCCTTAATGTTTTTACATTATATTATGTAAATGTTTCATTAGAAGACTTGTAAACATTTAAAAACAAAAGCATATGCTTCCTTCGTATTCAGAAAAAACTCACAGGTACTGAAAACTGTCAGCACACTAATCCAAAGAACTTTGCATGTTATGCTGAGAACGGTTAAAGGTAAAAGTAAAGGTTTCCCCGTGACATTAAAGTCCAGTCATGTCGGACTCCAGGGGGCGGTGCTCATCTCCGTTTCCTAGCCGAGGGAGCCAGCATTTGTCCGCAGACCGTTTCTGTGGTCATGTGGCTGGCATAGCTAAACACCGAGGTGCACAGAATGCTGTTAACTTCCCACCAATGTGGTACCTATTTATCCTCTTGCATTTATATGCTTTTGAACTGCAAGGTTGGCAGGAGCTGGGACAAAGCACGGAGCTTACCCCGTCATGTGGATTCGAACTGCCACCCGCAGTCCCGCTGAGAACTGTTGCTCACCCACAACTCTGAAGCTGCCAAACTTCCCTAATATCGTATTTGCTATTGGCATTCACTCACTAATGAATGTAGAAGGTGGAATGTTTTCCATGGAAAAAGGTAAGAAATTGATTTTTTTTCCATTTTGGAAGATTTTCTGCACCACACTACTGCACTGATCTCATTGAATTAGTTCAGTTAACAGGACAGTCTGATAAACCAGAAAGGAATAAAAGCATTTTGCTACTGCACAGCTCAGCACATCAGCGATGTGTATGTCTCAGACCATTACTATGGCTGGCCAGCCTATCTAGGGGCCACATCCCCTACCTCCTTCCCTTTATTCATTTACTTCTAGGTGTAACTGGCTGAACCTGAAAGTATCAGTCGAACTTGATGCCTGTGCTGAGGGAGAGTAAAACTGCAAGAAACAAACTAGTGATGCAGCCCAAGTATTGCAATTTTGTTTCCCTCTTGAAGACAACTACAGAAAGTTTAAGGCTAATTATTTTTTTATGAACATCTTAGATGCAAAGTAAGCCAGCTTCTAACTTTCTGAAGACAGCTGATCAAACAAATTCAGCTCAAGGGTAATCTCAGAATGGTCTCTATTAGCCTTCCCTACACGCTGTCCTTCGTGAATACCACAGAACCACGAATAACCATGCATCTGGCATGCAAATACATACAGTTAGGTTTGTATGTTTGCTTTTCAGTGTAATATTAACTTGTAAGTCTTCTATAGTTGCAGTTCTTTTATTCAAAACAAGAATGCATCCAAATTATAAATATATAATCAAAATATGAAAGTAACTATAATCTGTGCCTGTATAAACCTCACACCATCTATATGAAATCACTTCTTGTAAGATCTGCTTACAGAACAGCAACAGAGCACATTTTAACAAAGATTAAATCCTTCAGTTTTGTATTTTACCTTTCAAGAAATTTATTACTTTCCCCCATTTCCCGGCATCAAAGGGATGTAGTTTCTCCAATCCCATAAATGTAATGTTGTAATCTGGAGAATACACAATAGGCCAGCATGTTGGTGGGATATCTTGATATAGTTCTGTTCTATGAGGCCTTCCAGAAAAAATAAATAAATCATAGCATCAGAGATCTGGCGTGCTGATAGGTAAAAAATGCAATGCATCCCACAAAAAAGTTGCCAAATTATTTTCTATCTTGGCTATACATTTAGATGAATGTGTATTTGCAGATAGTGATGTAGCCACTCCTTTTCAGCTATTCTTTTATGCACTATGTCAGGTAATTATGTATAGCATGATTGTGTACCAAACTTCTGGCAAGAGTTTCATTCCCTTGGTGGAAATTCTTATCAAGCATTATATATAAAAATGCTCAGATAGTGAAAATAGTAGCATCCCAACAGATTAGGTTCACACATATCACTACTTTGTTCAAATCACTTTTTAGGAATACTAATAGTATTTACAGAACAAAAAGTGGTATTTCTTTCAAAAACAACCCTTGTCTATTTATTATTGGGGAAATCAATTGGCTGGTCACTGTGTATATTCAGATTTAACTGAATTGTCACAGGGTGCACTTTTACATTCATGGTTATTTGAATCTACCTTTTCATTTTCCTCTTATATTCCTCTGTTACGTGCGTATGTGCTCGCACACACACACACATCCCTGATAAGAATTACATTTAATCCAGTCCATCAATGCTTATGGCATGTTAACATTTTGTTTTGTTGTGTGGGTGGCTTTTCCCATCCCATTCCTCAGTCCCAGCCTTCCTGACCTGGTGCCCTTGGGATGCCAACATGGGAGCGCCACAGTACTTCCAGCCTCGAGTTTGTTTCAGCCATGCTCAAACCACAGGGTCAGCCCAGCCAGCGGGCAATGTGAGGAAAGTATTCAGAGGTAGCAGCAAAGTACTGGAGAAGCAAGCTGTGTGTCGAGCCGTTTACCCTGCACCTTCTAAACTAGCCTTCAGGCGCAATGGAGGAACCTGTCCCAACCTCCAGCAAGGTAACATTCAACTATTAGACCAAGTAACTTTTGTACATAATAGATATGCGAGCACTAGGCAAGGAAAAGATCTGGGGCCCAGGTCTGCCCCAACAAAATACACAAGCTTGCATGTTCCAATTTATATATGTACTGGGGTTTTGTGCATGTGTTTTTAACAGATCATTTGTCCTAAGGACACTATTTGTAAAATAAGGATGCATAGACAGGGGAGAGGATGACATTTAATTTCAGGGGGAAAATAGGGGCAGAAATTTTCAAAGGGGTTAGCCGAAACTGAAGCACGTGTGGGCAAAAAGCCAACTAATGCCAGAGAGATCAGAACACTTTCAGCAAGTGTTCATGGACAGCAGGACTGGAGGGCAGAGGCTCCCCAGAGATTCTGGGCTCCAGCCATACTGGATCCTCCTCTAGGACAGGTTATGGGAAGGAGCCCGAGCTGCCTTCCCGTCCTTCACCTCGAGTAGCAAAATGTTTTGACCGGGCCAGCCCTGTCAAATAACGGCGCCCTCCAGAGGCGCTGAACTACACCTCCCAGTATATCCCGCTAGCACGGTCGACGGTGCCGCGGGAAGGAGCTGCGACAGGAGCGCGCTGTAGCCAAACGCATCTGGAGGGCACTCGGCTGGGTCGAGTCACTCCGGAATAGAGAGGCTACAGCCCCTTCGTGGCTGCTCACTGTATGAGTGGGCAGGGGAGCCTCAACACAGGCACTCTTTGAAAATGAAATGGCCCGGCCGGGCTTGGTTTGGAGCAGTTTAATGTGGAGCCACGGCCGCGAACCTCTCCTGCTCGCGCAGCATGTGGAGAGCCAGCCGTGGTCCCCTGAGCAGGGGACTGGGACGCAAGCGATGCGGGTTCCAGCCCCCGCTCAGCCATGCAGCCGAGTGGGCGCCTTTGCGCCAGTCACAGGCTCCCAGCCCTACCTACCTCACAGGGTTGTTGTGGCTGCTCTGACTCATTTAAAAGGAAACCGGCAGGAAATAAATCTAATCAATGAGTATCGCCGCCGCCGCCCCAAATGGCGGCCCTGAGTCCCGCCGCCCTCGAGACACGCCTGGAGAAGGAAAGCGCGGGCGGGCGCCTCGACCGCCTGCCCGATGCCCCCCGCCGCAGGAGAAACGCCCGCCCACTGCCGGCCCGCTTAACTCGGAGCAGCGGCTCCTCCCTCCCCGCAGGCCAAGGCCGCCTCTCCCTCGCCTCCGAGCGCGGCCCAAACAACCCCTCCGCTCGTTGCTCCGCTCGTTACTCACATGACTCCGTGGCAAAGCGCACTAATGCCCTACTCGCCAGAGGCGCATACCGCGGTGGGACGGCGCATGCTCGGTTTCCCGCGAGCATGCCCGATTCGCGAACGACGCTGCCTGCCCTTACTTCGCCCGCACTTGCCCGCGCTCTATTGGCTTTCAGCGGCGGTCGTCAGAAACAGGGGCAAGGAGGGGTATGATGACGCTCCGTTGCGTCAAAGCGGGGTACGAGTCTCAGGATGGGATCATTTTTAAAATCTGCTCCCTTCACAGTGCATTATAAAAATATTATGTAAAACAATTCATTGACGTACGAATGACTTATTATAAAATAATTTATATGCATAAATATTGGAGACTAACAGAGCTCCTGGGCAACGTGAATATCCAGTGGTTTCTTTTTCTCTCGGGAACACCTAAGTTATATTGGGACTAAAATGTGTTTTTATCATGTTAAGAGAACTTCTTCCTTTGGGCAGTGCAGAAATCTAAATAAATAGACATTATTTTGTTTGTGACTTGAAATGTAAATATTGTGGAATCCTTGGAAGAGTTTTCCTTAAAAACCCATTCATATTTTAAATTTAATATACATTAAATCAGGGAAGGGGAATCTGTAGGCAAAAACATCGGGGGCACAATTTTGATCTCTGTGGTCAACAGTGGGGAATCAACAGAGTCGTAGGCCATAATACTGAGAGGGCCATAAGTTACCCACCCCTGCACTAAATTAAATATGATGAATGCAAGTATTTCTCAATAATGAGAATTTACCAAAACCCTATCACTATTTTTATGTCTTATTCTGGCTCTTTCTATGCCCTCCAGATGTGCTGGACCACAAAACTCAGCACACCCCAAAGAAAAGAGAAAAGCTCCCCAAAGCTGGGATTCCTCTTTTAAGCTATCATTGACCTATTTTACAGAACTGACCTCTTACAGAATTTGCAAAGTCCTGATACACTGGAAACTTGCAGTTCTTGGTTCAGTTGTGGTCCAATTTACCCAATGGTTTTCCACTAGCATTCTCTTCCCCCACTCCAGCTGCTACAAAAGTGTTAGTTCCCACGGAATAGTGCAGCCCTCTGCAACCTATTGACCTTGAGATGTGTTGGACTGCAACTCCATTACAGGATGTGCAATGCAGCACATCTGGAATCCATTCGAAGAGAGGAGACTGCACAATAAGCAATCCACGCCTGCTTTCTCCCCGTTCCACTTGTTGGATTTTTGTCCTTGGGGCTCCCATGCAGTCCTGAAGCAGCCAGCACCATTAAATGCAATTACAGTGCAATCCTATGCATGTTTAGCATTAGGAATAAAGTCCTACAATTTTCAGCGTGCTGGCTGAGGAATCCTGGGAGTTGTACGGCCTTTTTCAGTCTAAACATGCATGAGTTTGCGCTCTTTGCCCCCCTTCTATCCTTCGACAGCTTTCCTCTTTCAAAATAATTTCTCTGGGTTCCTTCCAACTGCCAAACTATACAAGCTTCTTTGGCTCTGCCGTGCAGTAAAAAGCGCAGACGATGCTCATTTTGAAGTACGGCTGGTAGCCAGTGGGACCAGCAGGGGGAGATGGACGACCGTGCCTCCTGAATGGCAAGCCGTTCTCCAAGGTCAACATCCTATTAAAACGCATCCACAATTTGCCGCCTTCTATCCCGCTGGAGAAAGGTCAATAGACTCGAGCACAACAGTGATCCAGGGAGTCGGAAAGGAGATGAGCAGAAATGAAGAGACAGAGGCTTAGGGGGAAGCAAACACAGAGGTAACACTCCCCTAGGACAACTGGTCTCTCAATAAGGCAACGACCTCCGGTTCATCCCGGAGCTCCCTCCGTCCGCAGCATGCGAAAGACTCACCGCTGCAGACGGGCAAATGGGTGTGTGAGAAGCCAAGCTCCGATGCCTTCCTCTTCCTGTCTGCAAAGGCAGGGTGGATCCAAGCCTTGCAGGAGCCATCTCCGCCTCCCAGCCTTGCCTATTGGTTTGCTGCTCAGCCGATGCCACCCTTCCTTGAAATGAACCATTAGGTGGATTGATAGGTGTGACGTTTTGAGAGGGGATTGGCCAGTTCAAGTGTCTGAATAAGACCCTTCCAAGTCCCGATTGAAGCTCCACCCACGACATTACTACTGACTAACAACTGTTCATGTGAACACTCGCTTGTGCAAAAGGTTCCATCTTGGCTTTCTTCTTGTGCCACTCTGTTTCAGGCAGCCTCTGTGTGATTTTCTTCCAGGGGTGACTTCTAGGTCTTTATAGGAAAGTTTGTCCATTCTAAGGCATTTAAGAAGCTGGAGCTGTGTGGAGATTGGTACTCATCTGTGTGGAGTAGGTGGAAACAGAAATGCCTCATACCCCTCGCCAGCGCTTACAGCCTCGAGCTCCCGTTTGGTCAGAGACAGAAACTCGAGATTTCCTTGCCCTCTGGGGTGAGCTGTTGATTCTAAGGTGGATTGAAAATCGCCCACCAAACAGTGACATCTATGAGGACCTTTCAGCCCAAATGATCGCCAGGGGTCATGAGCGCAATGCATCGCAGTGCAGGAACAGGGCCCGGGACCTCAAGCGGAGTTATCGAAGGGCCAAGGATGCGCAAGTATGCGCAGGAGCTGAACCAGTTTCCTGCCGCTACTTTCGAGAATTGGATCAGATGTTTGGTGGTGAAATGGATGGAGTAGCCAATCGAGGCCTGCCTGGTATGGATGGGCCCATGCGAGTCGTCGTGAAAACTGAAGATGCAGAAGACATGGAGGCTCAAGTCTCAGAAGAAGAGGGCAACCAAATGACACCACCAAACACCCTCTCGAGCATGGATGCAGACACCGACACAGAAACAGAACCAAATCTGGGGATCTCTCGAGAGCTGGTGGTAGCAGATCCGGACGTGATCGAAACCACAATTGGGGAGGAGTGTTCTGAAGACAAAGCAGTGCCTTTATGTGGACAACCAAGGGCTGGACCCAGTGAAGATGGACACCACACTGTAACCGGTGAGCAAGTACCCTGTTACCGCAGTGGCTTTTTTCTTCTCCTTTTGCTCCTCGCAATTCATACAATTCTGTTTAAACCAGCTGTAGGAACTCATACGAATCTGGAATCTCATGCTGGACTCTGGAATCTCATGCTGCAGGGATTGGCTGTTGGGTCATGCAGGGGTGGGGGCATGACCTGAATTTGCTCCTGTTCAGAGTCCCCCATTAAATATGCTGTGGGAGGAAGATGAAGACTTGAAATTCATTTTAAAAGAGGAACTGACTAAGGCTGGATGCTCTGCCCATCATCTCACTTTGTCTGGAGTGTCATACAGTACTCTGTGTCTTGGTTCAGCTAATTCTGGCCAAAAAGTTGGAAGGAGGGGAAGGGGGCTTTATCTGGGATTGGGAGGGTCTGGAGGTGTTCAGTGAGGAGGCCTCTGAGTTTTTCACCCCAGCAACCAATCAGCATTAGTTCTGGCAGTCTCTGTTCCACCCTTGCAAATGAATTGGGTTGTGGGATACAGTAGCAGGCAGGAAATAGGATGGAGGAGGAAGGAATACAAGTAGAAAACTATTAATGGGGAGGACTTGACTGGTTAGGGGGAAAGGGGATTGGGGTGGGGGGAAGCTCATGGGATGAAAGCAGAAGCGAGCTGTGGCTGAACCAAATAATAAATGTAGTGTAGATGTAGGAGAGTTTCCAGGGTTCGTTTGCAACACAGACACACATGCTTCTAGAGGAATAGGAAGGGAGCTCTAAGTGTTTTATAAAACCACTGAGCAGGTAGTTACTCCTAATTGCCAGCCGTGGTAATCACAGTCACTGGTTTTAGAGTTTTCGTGCTTATATTGGTTAATATACTTGAAAGGCGATCGCAAAGAGGGACCAGATCTCTTCTTGATCATCACAGAGTACAGGACATGGAATAATGGGCTCAAGTTACAGGAAACCAAATTCCAGCTGGAAACCAGGAAAAAAATTCCTAACTGTTAGAGCAGCACGACAATGGAACCAATTTCCCTCTGGGTGGGGGAGGTTGTGGGCTCTCCCACATTGGAGGCATTCAGGATGTAACTGGAGGGCCATCTGAGAGGGATGGTTTAACTGGGAGTGTTGCACTGAGCAGGGGTTGGACTCAACGGCATTCTGCCCCTTCCAACTCTAATATTCAGTTATCCTAAGTATGTACCATATTAATACTGGGTTATCTAATATCGACAATAAGCATTTGCACCTACTGCACTGATTTTGTACCTCTGATGACTCTCATTACTGCCAACAGAGTTATTGTGATGCTTAGTCATGTGCGTTCCTCAAAGCAAAATGAAGGAAATGGGTAATATTTACTAATGTTATAGCCAAATGTTACATATTTTGCAGTCCTTGGTCTGGTTCACATCTGTGATAGTTGATATTTTTCACATAAAGAGCAGTTTCACACATTCATATGACTGATGCTGTCATGTGCTAAAGACAGTTTTATACACTCATCCCCTCTGTTATATTGGATATTATTTAAGTATGAGATTTCTGCAATCTGTAGCTGTGAACCACCAGAGATCTTTGGCTGTTAGGCAGTGCAGAAATAAAAGTAATAAGGAGGAAAGAATCCCCTTTATCTCCATTCCTCCATCTCATGTCCTGAATCCAGCAATGTTAGGGAAACCTGAAATATATACAGTGCTGAATTATCAAACCTCAAGTTATTTACCACCTTACCTGGCTGTTTTACCAGTGCCTGTGCTGTTTGTTTTACATTACTTTGTATTCTTTAAAGTGCAGTAGTACCTCGGTTCACGAATGCCTTGGTTCACGAACAAATCAGGTAAAGAACAAAAATTTCTGAAAATTTTTGATTTGGGTCGTGAACACCACTTTGGGTGGTGACCAAGATCGCAGCCATCGCCCTCCCCCGCAAAAAGTGGGGAGATGGCCACGATCCCAGTTGCTTTCATGTAGGGAAGGCGTGCATGATCAGAGGTGCGCTGCTGCAGGAAAGACAAGAGTAGCAAAGCAGAGCCGCAGGGGAGATGGCTGGGATTCCGCCTGTCTTTCCTGCAGGAGCGCGCCTCTGATCAGGCACACCTTCCCTGCACGAACGGAACTGCAATCGCGGCCACCTCCCCACCCCCAGCGCACCGTTTGCGCCCGTCTCTCCCTCCCCCTGTGTGCCCACAGTGCGCCGGGTTGACGGGCGCCTGCAGGATGACAGGCGTGTGCAGGGATGACAGGCGCGATCTCGGTCGTGCTGCAGGGGCGGGGAGATGGCCGCGCTTGTGGTCGGGGTGCGGGGTGGGGGAGATGGCCACAACCTTTGTTTTTGTCACTTTGCTTCACATTTTTCTGATTTAAAAAATGGTTACAGAACGGATTAACCTTATTACATTGAACCTTATGGGGAAATTTAACTTGGCTCATGACCAATTTGGGTCACGACCAGAGTCCTGGAATGGATTAAGTTCGTGAGCCAAGGTACCACCGTATATATGCTATATATTTTAACTGTTACGTGGCATTTAAATTTTAACTGTTTGTAAGCCAGAAAATATTAGTTACTGGACAGATTAGAAGAATAACAAGAACCCTAGAGATACATTCCTGTGCCCATCTTTGGGATTCTGTGTGGCTTTCTTCTGAGTAAACACATACAGATTTATATATAAGAAAATAAGACTCTTCAGCAAACAATATCATATAGACCTCAACAGTATTATTTTCCCTGTTCTTTTTTGAGTTTTTTAAAATGTGTGTGTGTGTGTGTGTAGCAGTGGATACCTATGCATATATATGAAAACACAGTTTACTAGCAATTATACATAAGCCACAAAAAGTAAATCAAATATTCAAATAAATACTCATTTGAAGGAGATGTCAGTATGCCACCTGGTCTGATTTTGAAAGCGTTATAAAATCCTCATGCTAGGGAAAGTTGAAGGCAGAAGAAAAGGAAGACCAAATATGAGATGGACTGATTCCTTAAAGGAAGTCACAGTCTTGATTTTAGAACAGTTAAGCAGGACAGGGTCCCTTGAAATGAATGGGAATTCATGAAATCCTAAATTTAAGTCCTGGAATTAATCCCTGCCTGGGATTAAGTCCACTGAATCAAGTAGAGCTGACTTTTCAGTAGATAAGAACAGCATTACTCTATAACTTTCTATTGATTGAATCTTGCATTTCTAGAGGAAAAGTTATCAATGGAGCATCCTTTAATGCAATTAATACTCCATTGGTGAGTATTTCTAAAGGAAAGTGTTCATATCTCTTTAGGAAATTTTTTAATGTTTAGCCTGTATGCTATGGCCCTTTCTAATTATTTTATAGATGTTTAATTTATTATGTTTTAATTGGTTTTTAAAGTGTTCTTACTCTGTTGGTAAGCCACCTAGGAAGGCCTCGGCAATTATAGGCAGCCTGTAAATATAGGTAGGTAGGTAGGTAGGAAGGTAAGTAAGTAAATAAATAAATAAATAAATAAGAGGGAAGAGTGTTTCCCCTGCTCCATGACAGGCCTCAGAAATGAAAAACATTCATTTCTCTCCATTTCCACCTACATAGGCCTTTAGATTTTTAGCTAAAGTAATGTAACTTTTTGGCTCCCTTCTTTGAAAAACAGATGACTGACAAAACAGTTCAATTTTTCTACTGTTCCCCACCTCCACAAAATTTCTGCTAGCAAAGTTATTGTGTGTCAGGAGCTTGTCTGTTGATCTCCTGAGGTTTTCTGATTCACACAGGTTCTGCAAATATTGACATATGATTGTGTGGGCCAACATCAGTTTGGAAGCCAGCATCAAGGGATTATACAGGGGAATGGATAAAAGGCAGGAACTGCCGACCATATTAAAGAAGAGTTTAGGGCAGCATGCAGTTTTATTACCCCTGCCCCATTTTGTCCTCTTTATTGTCCTACCCCTGCAGGCAGAGGCAGACGAGACAATTCCCTTGGGCGTCCCCTGACAACGGCAGAGAGAATGGCATCCATGCGGGAGCGAAAGAGGCGCTCACATGAAGAAATGATGCACGAGATCATGACTGACTATCGGAGGACCTGGGAGACCATGGAGGCCCTTCACGAGAGGGGAGAAATCAGTGCAGGGGAATTTCGTGAGGCAATGTTAAGGGAAATGCTTTTGGACAGGGAGGCCCGGACCCGGGAAGCCCAGCTAGACCGTGAATCCCGGGCTCGGGAGGCCCAACTGGATAGAGAAGCAAGAGCCCGGGACAGCCAGTTGGATAGAGAAATCAGGATTAAGGAGTTGAATATGATTGAGGCTGAGCTCCAGCGCACTCGAGATATTCTCCATCCAATGGTTGATGCTGTGGTATCTGTGGCTGAGGTCCTGCGGACGACAGGCAGTGTCCAACAGCAATCTTGTCAGCCACAGCAGAGTGCAAAAAGTTCCATTTTGGAATTGGAGGATAGCACATAATTTCCTTTTGTCGTTAATAGTATGCAGATACTGTGTTGGACAGAAAGGAGGGGCAATAAGGAGGAGAAGGGTGAATAGAAAATGGTTTCCTCAGGAGTTTGAAACGCTACAGCTGTCAGTTTCTTCTGAAGGACATTTTCTCTTATTGAATAATCTCAGCTGAATTCACCTGCCTTCCACTGCCCTGGTTGGTCCAGTGTGTTTAGAGAAATCATGCGATTGTGTGTGGTTTTGGAAGAGGAGAGACATTTGAAAAGAGCATTGGCTGATTGTTCAAATCTTCACCTTTTCTACAGCCAAGTCCCATGCCAGTGGCTGTGCAACTTGGGTTTTTTTTCCTGAATGTGCCAAGAAAATTGGAATAGAAAATTATATTTGGGTGCCCTCAAAAGGGAGCTGCCCGTGTGTGAGTGTGCGTGCACATGTGAGTTTTGCTCATAGTTTTTCCTTTCTAAAAACTCAAGCAGTGCTTGTTCCTTTGTCAGATGCTGGGCACTGAGAGGCAATGGACAAGAATTGCCTTCATGCCTGGTTTGTGGACTTCCCAGGGACGTACAGCTGAGCTCTGTTGCTGATGGGAGGCTGGACTGGAGGGGCCTTTGGTCTGATCCAGGCTTTTCCTGTAGCAAATGGTTGGAGCCCAGAGAGCAGGACAGGGGTGCAAGACAGGCCAGGTGGAACCCACAGGCCTGAGGGTCAGTATCCCCACCTTATAGGGTCATGATGTCTTTCACACGAGCCCACAGTGGGCCTGTGAGTCCACTGCTTAAAATCTTTGGGTGGGAATATGGACAGATGTGAGAAATGTGGGTCAGATGAGGGGAGATCTCTTATGTGGCTTAAAAGCAGGATTGCATGATATATCCTGAAGCTGTAAAAAATTGCTAACAGGTACTGCACTCAGTAGCCTGTGAATCTCTCCGAAAAGGCAGAATCCAGCTACAGTAAAAGCACTTTTTGCTCAGATTGACTGCAGTGGTATTGGGCAGGGACATTTTCTTGACTTTCTTATGGAAGTCAGAGGGATTTTTGGAAGTAATTACCTTTGGCTGGATTGTGCCACAGTCTCCAAGCTTCTCTCCCTTAATGCTGCGGAGGTTGACTTGGCAGTGTTTGCTCTTCCTGCCTATTGGAATCTCAGAGGCACTGGACAAGATTCCTAGGGATGAGCTAGCAGGATTTTAGTGCTATGCATAGATGTTCGCTGCACTCCATGACTAGCTGGAGCAGAATCAATTTTGCATAGTAATCGAATACATGCCCATTACAAAGTAAGCAAAGGCAGTAGCATTCCACTCTTCAAAGAACACTGTTTTTTGGTTCCTTTTTAGGCAGGGCTGTGTGCATTCTGCCTAAAGTTGAGCAGATAGAAGCTCCAGGGGCAGGAGGAAGAGCAGTTAAAAAGCAAGAGGCAGGCAGGTCCAATTAGAGTGAGTTATTTGTAGGACAACTGCAGCATTATGAAATTGTAAAAGATCTTATCTGCCTTGGTTCAGTCGCCAAAGAGAGACTGCTGCCAAGAAATTAGAAAAAGACTGAGACTTGGAGGAGGAATTGGAGGAATTAGGAAAGATCATCAAGTGTAAGGACATTTCACTGGAGATCAAGAGCAAGATCATCCACAACATTGTATTTCTGACTACTCTGTGTGGATGTGGAGGCTGGACAGTGAAGAGAGCTGACGGGAGGAAAGTTGATGTGTTTGAAACATGGTGCTGGAGGAGAGCTTTGTGAAGGGGCTCCTCGATCAAACCAAGCCAGAACTTGATGAAGACGGCACAGAAGCCAAGATGGTGAAACTGAGGCGTCCTACTTCAGGCACATCATGGGAAGGCAAATCTCACTAGAGAAGACAATCATGCCAGGGAAAGTCAAACACAGGAGGAGACAACCAGTGATGAGATGGATCAGTGCCACAGAGGAAGTCACTGCCTGCTTGTCAAGGACAAGACAGGACACCTTGAAGGGTGTGCATGCATTAGGGTTGCCACAAACTGGAGATCACTCATTGACACATCACAACAGCAGCAACACTTGCAGCATTTGATACAAGTAAGAAATTTGTCTCCTAAGTTTCAGCTTTAAACTGCATATTAAACCAAATATCTGTTTTTAGGCTGGCTAGAAAGATGTGGAAGCATGTAGGCAGCATCTGGATAAGACACAGAAGCCAGAAATCTTGGGGGGGGGGTGCAGTGGGGGGTGGCATGCCAGAGTTTTCCTTGCTACGGTTTTGGTGCTTTGTGACACTCCTGATTGTGTTCCCCCCCACTCTGCTTTCCAGATCCTTTTCCCAGTGCATCCTTTCTCCCTCTCTCTTTATATCTGCCTCTGAGTTAGTTCCAGTTCCTGCCCTACCAAAGTTTTGAGCATCTAAATTTTGCAAGCTATGAAACTAGCAAGTGGAGGCAACTCATCTTAAGCTATGCAATTTGAACAGACTGCAGGATTCAAATTTCCCATGGTGTTGCATTTGGGTTATTTCCCCTTTTGCAGATGTGTACAAAATATTCACTGGTTTGAATATAGCCTCCGAAAGGCATCTCTCCAGAGATGGACTCCTGCTGCAACAGGCACCAAGCAGCATCCACTGTGCATCTGTTTAAGAGGGGAGCTGCACTTGGCAAATGGCGGTCCTGCACCCAGTTCCATCCCCCCCTTCAATAGCACCTATGCCAATATATGTATTTGTTATTTATTTGTTTGTTAGATTTAATCCCCACCCTTTCCTCCAAAGAACCAAAGGCAGCATACCTTCTTCTCCTCTTCTTCCTCTCTCCTTTATCCTCACAAAAACATGTTACCTTCTGACATAGCTTAGACCAGTGACGGCGAACCTTTCAGAGACCGAGTGCCCAAACTGCAACTCAGAACCCACTTATTTACTGCAAAGGGCCAACACTGCAATAAAACCTGAATTCGCTGGCCACCAGCACAAGGGGGCAACTTTCCGCTGACCACCAGCTTTTGGCCGGCCCTGAAAAAGGCATCGGAGCGTATTTCCTACCTTTCCTACCTTGCTAAAATCACAGCCCAAGGAAATCCCTGGCAGCTCACTGACTGGCCAGGAAAAAGCTGGGTGAGCGACTCCTTGCCTGGAGCCCCTAATCTTTCTGAACATGTGCATGCCTGCTGGGGCCATCGTTGTGTGTGCCGTAGGTTCACCATCACTTGTTTAGACTGAGTCTGTGATGCCCCCAAGTCAGCCAGTGAGCTTCAGGTCAAGTCAGGCTAGAATCTGGGTCTCCCCACTCCTAGTCCCACACTCTGACCTCGCTAATACACTGAGTCGGCTTGTATGACACAACAGCCTGTGTTGCTGTCATACAAAACTAAACCGCATTCTGTGGGGTGGCTTATTTTGCAGCAACAAGCCACCATGACTGCACACGGCTTGTTCTAGGGGTAGTCAATTTATGAGGAGCTGTTTGCCATGCAAACTCAAGAGAACAATTTCATCAAAGGCCATGGGAACCGGCTAGCAAATGTCTCAGCAAGAACAGCAAACCCCTCAATTATTCTTCGTGATTTCGCTCTTCTCCTCTCCAGTGACAGTCCCTCCACTGATGCCCATCACTGCCTTCCCACACTTTTTTATTCATGCTGCCCCAGAAAATCATGCTGCTGTTTCATAGTTTTTAATTATTGTATTTATTTTATTGGTCTTTCACAAGTGGCTGCTGTGGCTGCCCGTTATGTGTAGTATTGTCTGATCAATTTTCTTGTATGTTTCAGCTGACAAAAGGAAGAGAAAAGTGGTACAGAAAAGAGTGCATACAGATTAATTTGTGCACAGTTTCCAGGCTCCAGTTTATGAGATGCCAATTGCAAAGCACTGCTAAAATGGGGGGAAGTGGCAAGAGCAGGTGCACTAAAATATGTGTGTGTGTGTGGGGGGGGGGGAGCATATTTCTTTCTTGGCAATATAATCTGGTCACTTTTTAGCATCAAACTGATACTTCTCAGTGTCCTCCATACCATTCAACACCTCCCTGAGTCCCCAGTGACTCAAGGAAGGTGATATTCGCTACCCCAGTTTCTCTTTAAAGCAGCCTTCCCCAACCTGGTGGCCTGTAGAAGTATTTGGACCACAACTCCCAAAATTCCTATCCAGCATTGACTGTGAATTCTGGATGTTATGGTCCAAATGTGTCTGGAAGGCCCAAGGCACATTTACAGATTTCCCCTTCCATTTACTCCGCAAACATAAAATTTACACGTGTTTTCTGCAGTTTTTTTTTAAACTGTCATGGACCCACCATAACCAAACAGTAAGTGCTCTTAAAAGGAGCCATGAAAGGGTGGGGAAGCCCTTCTGGAGTAGCTGGAGACTTGGGGAAGGGTTGAAAGGTTTGATGGCACTGAGAAGGGAACACTTCATAGCCAAGTCAACAGTGGGTGGACTGAGGGAAGATGGAAACCATGATAAAGTAGAAACCACTTGTTTGTCTGTCAGGTAGATCATGGTTTTTAAAAAACCCCATGTACCATGATAACCACACACAGTAGCTTGTTGTGTTGTGTGAACATAGCCACTGTGCAACTTATTTACATGGTGGGTTGCCCACTGTTTTTCACCATTTCCTGATGCCTTTCACCATTCCCACTCTTTGCAATGTGAGTTTGCAGGCTGTGAAAATGCACATAATTAGTGATGCTGCTGAATTTTGAGTCATGTGTTTTTCTAAATGCTCACTGTTGGGATGAGCTTAGCTTGCTTTAATGACTGTGTTAATTATTTTGGAATAGACTGCACATTTAGGGGCATGTACCATGTGCATCTACATTATGGCAACCTTTTCCTTTAGGAGAAAATGTAATGACGTCACCTTAACCCTTTAGGGAAAGGGAAAACTACCACTCTTTCCACAACCAATCACGCCTACCTAGACTAGTCCATGTATCCTTCCTCCACATGCAGCTGGAGGGAGCAAGTAAACATTATGTAGAAACGACATGGGGAAACAACCAATTAGGAAATAAGTAATATAATGACACGTTATGCAATTCCCAGCGACAGCTCCCAAGACTCAATCTGGTAGTGTGCATTCATGAAACTTGTATACAAAGAACAGGATCTTGAACTAAATGAAACTGTCGTCCAAGATTACATGGGTCAGTTGGTTATTTTCCAAGGTGATAATGAATTCATTTGGGATAAAGTTGCTATCACATAATTAGGGCACCAGAGCACAGGATAAATTGATGTCAGGCAGGGAAGAGCAATACTGACTCAACAACTGAGACATTTCTCCTTTTCACCAGCTGTTGTCCTGTGTACCCTTTTTCTTTAACACCTTCTTCTTTAGGAACCAACATTCCAGCCAGTCAGACCTGTTAGCTTGCTTGCAACATGGCTCTACAGGCATATTGTTTTTGCTGCTATTTGTTTTGGCTCATAGGGTTGTGGGA